TTATGATTAACATGTATAGTGTGGGGGAGGGAACGGGGAGGGCTGTGCAACACAGAGAAGACAAGTAGTGATTTTACATCATCTTACTATGTTGATGGACAGTGACTGTGAATGGGTATGTGGGGGAGACTTGGTGAAGGGAGGAACCTAATAAACATAATGTCCTTCATGTAATTGTAATTGTAGATTAATGATGCCAAAATAAAATTAATTTTTAAAAAAATTCATAAACATGCTCAGAGCTACAGAAAAATATTCAAGATCTCAAGGACTTCAACAAAGAGACATAAACTTTGAAAAGTACAGTATCTGAAATGAAACATAGAATGGAGGGATTTAAAACTTGAATAGATGAGGTAGAGGAGACGGTAAATGAAATAGAAATTAGAGAACAGGAAAACAAAGAAGCTGAGACACAGAGGGAAAAAAGGATTTCTAGGAAAAAAAAATAATAAAGAGAGCTGTGCAACCAATCCAAATGGAACAATATTCACATTATAGGGGTACCAGAAAAAGAAGAGAGAGACAAAGGGATAGAAAGTCTGAGGAAATAATTATTGAAAACTTCCTGAATCTGGGGAATGAAATAGTCACTTAGGTCATGGAAGTGCAGATATGTCCGAACACAAAGAACCCTAGGAAGACAACATCAAGACATAATAATTAAACTGGCAAAGATCAAGGACAAGAACAGAGCATTGAAAACAGCAGAGAGAGAGAGAGAGAAAAGATAATATATAAAAGAAAATCCATCAGGCTATTAGCAGACTTCTCAGCAAAAACCTTGCAGGGAGTGGCATTGTATATTTAATGCAATGAAACAGAAGGGCCTCAAACTAAGATCCTCTACCCAGCAAGATTATCAGTTAAATTTGAAGCAGGAATTAAACAATTTCTAGACAAGCAAAAGTTGAGGGAATTTGCCACCACCAAGCCATTTCTACAAGGTATCTTTAAAGGGACTGCTCTAGGTGGAAATGTTCCTAAGGCTAAACAGGTGTCACTAGAGAAAATAAAACCACAGTAAAGGAAGTAGACCAATTAATTACTAAGCAAATACAAAATTAAATCAACGACTCACAAAGTCAGCCAAGGGATACACAAAGAGTACAGAATATGACACCTAACATATAAAGAGTGGAAGAGGAAGAATGGGAAGAAAATTAAAAAAGGAACCTTTAGATTGTATTTGAAATAGCATTATAAACAATTTAAGATAAACTGTTAGATAGTAAGGAAGCTATCCTTGAACTTTGGTAACCATAAATCTAAAGCCTGCAGTGGCAATAAGTACACATCTATCGATAATCACCCTAAATGTAAATGGACTGAATGCACCAGTATGAGTTGAAGCACAGATACAAAAACAAGACCCATCTATATGCTGCCTACAGGAGACTCATTTCAAACCCAAAGACATATACAGACTAAAAGTGAGGGAACGGAAAAAGATATTTCATGCAAATAATAGGGAGAAAAAAGCAGGAGTAGCAGTACTAATATCAGACAAAATTGATTTCAAAACAAAGTAACAAGAGACAAAAAAGGATATTACATAATGATAAAGGGGTCAGTCCAACAAGAGGATATAAGCATTATAAATATTTATGCACCCAATATAGGAGGACATAAATATGTGAAACAAATACAAACAGAAATAAAGGTGGAAATGGAATGAAACACATTCATTTTGGGAGACTTCAGTGTACTACTCACACCAAAAGACAGATCAACCAGGCAGAAAATAAGGAGAAAGAGGAACTGAACAACACATTAGAAGAGATGGACCTAACAGACATCTACAGAACATTCCACCCAAAGCAGTATGATACACATCCTTCTCAAGTGTACAAGGCATATCAGATACCATGGAAATACAAAGAACTATTAAAGAATACTATGAAAAATTATATGCCAACAAATCGGACTAACTAGAAGGAATGGACGATTTTCCAGAAAAATAGAACCTTCCAAGACTGACCCAGGAAGAAAGAGAAAATCTGAACAGACCAATTGTCAGGAATGAAAGCAAACTGATAATCAGAAAACTCCCCAAAACAAAACTCCATGTCCAGATAGCTTCACAGCAAATTCTAGCATTTAAAGAGCTAATACCCATCCTCCTTAAAGTTTTCCAAAAAACAGAAGAGGAGGGAATACTTCAAACTCATTCTATGAGGCCAGTATCACTCTAATACCAAAACCAGGCAAAAACACCACAAAAAAAGATAATTACCGACATTCCTGATGAATATAGATGTAAAAATACTAAACAAAATATTAGCAAACTGAGTTCAAAAATACATAAAAAAGACCATCCATCATGACCAAGTGGGGTTTATTTCAGGGATACAAGGATGGTACAATATTCTAATATCAATCAATATCATACATATGAACAAAAAGGATAAAAATCACATGATCATCTCAATATACGCTGAAAAGGAATCAGATAAAATTCAACATCCATTCATGATAAAAACTCTCAACAAAATGAGTATAAAGGGCAAATACCTCACCATAATAAAGGCCATATATGACAAACCCACAGTCAACATCATAACTAACAGCAAGAAGCTGAAAGCCTTTCCTTTAAGATTAGGAACAAGACAAGGATACCCACTCTCCCCACTTTTATTCAACATAGTTCTGGAGGTCCTAGTCACAGCTATCAGACAACACAAAAGAAATTAAAGACATCCAAATTGGTAAGGAAGAAATTAAACTCTATTTGAAGATGACATGATATTATACATAGAAAACCCTAAAGACGCCACCAAAAACTATTCGAACTAATAACTGAATTCAGCAAAGTTCCAGGATACAAAATTAATACATAGAAATCTGTTGCACTCCTATATACTAAAAATGAATTAGCAGAAAAAGAAATAATGAAGACAACCCCATTTACAATTGCACTGAAAAGAATAAAATACCTAGGAATAAACCTAACCAAGGAGGTGAAAAAGCTATGCTCTGAAAACTACAAAACATTCATGGAAGAAATTAAAGAAAACACCACTAAATGGAAATACATTCTGTGCTCATAGATAGGAAGAATTAATATTGTCAAATGGCTATCATGCCTAAAGCAATCTGCAGATTCAATGTAATCCTTATCAAAATACCAACAGCATTCTTCAATGAATTAGAACAAATAGTTCTAAAATTTGCATGGAAACACAAAAGACCACAAAGAGTCAAAGCAATCCTGAGAAGGAAGAACAAAGCTGGAGGATATTATACTCCCTAACTTCAAGCTCTACCACAAAGCCAAAGTAATCAAAACAATTTGGTACTGGCACAAGAACAGACCCATAGATCAATGGAACAGAAAAAAGAGCCCAGATATAAGCCCACACAGATATGGCTAATTACTATACAATAAAAGCGCCAAGAACATACGATGGAGAACAGACAGCCTCTTAAACAAAGGTGTTGGGAAAACTGAACTGTATGTAAGAAAATGAAACTGGATTATTGTCTAACTCCATACACAAAAGTAAACTTGAAATGGATCAAAGACCTGAATGTAAGTCTTGAAACCATAAAACTCATACAAAAAACATAGGCAAAAATCTCCAGAATATAAACATGAGCAACTCCTTCTTGAACACATTTTATTGGAAAAACAAAACAAAATAAAAAATGAACAAGTGGGACACCATCAAACCAAACTTCTGTACAGCAAAGGACACCATCAGCTGAACAAAAAGGCATCCCTACAGTATGGGAGAATAAATTCATAAATGACTTCTCTGATAAGGGCTTAACACCCAAAATATATAAAGAGCTTACATACCTCACACTCAAAAAACAAATAATCCAATTAAAAAATGGGCAGAAGATATGAACATTTCTCCAAAGAAAAAATTTGGATGGCCAACAGGTACTTGAAGAGATGTTCCATATCACTAATCATCAGGGAAATGCAAATTAAAACCACAATCAGAATTCACCTCACACTAGTTAGGACAGCCAACATCCAAAAGACAAGAAGCCACAAATGCTGGTGAGGATGTGGAGAAAGGGGAACCTTCCTACACTGTTGGTGGGAATGTAAGCTAGTTCAACCATTATGGAAAGCGATATGGAGGTTCCTCAAAAAACTAAAAATAGAAATACCATTTGACCCAATAATTCCACTCCTAGGAATTACCAGAAGAAAACAAGATCTCTGATTCAAAAATAATATGCACCCCTATGTTTACTCCAGCACTATTTACAAAGCCAAAATATGGAAGCAAACTAAGTGTCCATCAGTAGATAAATGGATAAAGAGGTGGTACATATACACAATGGTATACTATTCAGCCATGAGAAGAGAACAAATCCTACCACTTACAACATGGGTGCAGCTAGAGGGTATTATGTTTATTGAAATAAGCCAGGAGGAAAAAGATAAGTACCAAATGACTTCACTCATTTGTGGAGTATAAGAACAAAGCAAAACTGAAGGTACAAAATAGCAGCAGATTCACAGACACCAGAAGGGACTAGCGGTTACCAAAGGGATGGGGTTGGGGAGGGTGGGTAGGGGGACGGGGGATTAAAGGGGCACTAGAATTCACTCAGGGAAGGCAGTACAACACGTAGAAGAGAAGTAATGACTTACAGCATCTTACTACTCTGATAGATGGTGACTTCAATGTGTGGGGGGTGGTGAGGACTTGATTATAAGGGTGATTGTTGAATCTGCAATGTTGTTCACGTGAGACCTTCATAAGACTGTATATCAATGATACTTCAATTTTAAAAAAAGATTATTTAAGCCCCAAACTGTATTTTATACTCAAGTCCTAATATATTAAAGGTGTTTTCTTAATATGCAAATGCTTCTGAAATACTTCTATTTCTTCTGAGCATTCTATTCAAAATTATAGAACATTACTTCCTATTCTAGACATACACTAGAAACAATTATAATAAGAAATTCATACATTTTACATTCATAAATTAAAGTCATATTCTGAACTCTGTATGTGATTTTACTTGCTTACCTGGATAATTCTTCTCCTAAATTCTGCAAACTCCATTCTGTTATCCTTAGTTCACGTCTTAAGGAAGCAACATTTGCAAGCAAACTTTCTTCTTCATTGTCTTTATTATGGTAGTCCGATGAACTACGTTCCATTTCTTAAAAAAAGAAATTAATTTCTTGTACCTTTCCAAAAGGTCAAATTTGTCAAGTTAAAATATTCTCACCCAACAGAATTAAACTCAATATTTTGCTATTTATTTCAAATGTTGTGAAATCTTTCATGGTGATTTAAAACAAAACAAAAACCCAGTAACAGTTAATTTCTCAGCAATGTAAAGCCATAATAGAAAATTCAACAGAACTTTAATGAGTCCATTTTTTCTAAATAGCCAGGATCTAGTTATTATAGTTCCCCTTTTGCAGGCACATTTAATCTTTCTAACAACTGTGTGAACTAAGTATTTTTATTCTATGTTAAAGATGAAGAAACTAAGAAGTCAAATTAAATAATTTGCTCAGGCTCACACAAACTGTAAATGGTACAATCAAGATTGGCAAAGAGGTCATCAGGATCCAAAGACCTTTTAATTATGACACACTGCAATTTGCTAAATTTATTATAGATAAATATCAATATGAGGTTTTTAAACTTACATAATCACATTACAAGCTCTAGAGATCTGATAAAATTGGTGTCATTACAGTCATTCATTATTTTTTAAAGGCAATTTATTACCAGATAAAATTATCCCGTTCTCCTACTCACTGTTATATAATTTAAAAAACACACTCACATTCACATACAAACCACAGAGACCAAAATAATATTTGGCTGGTAAACCCATGGAAATATACAAAGAAAAGCTTTAGTTCCTTCAACTGATGAGTATCTCTAGCATTGTCAAATTCTCTACTAAACACCTTTGTACATAAAAATGATAAAGGGTCACATTATTATTGTTAACACATATAACTTTTATGTATTAAGATACATATTAATAGAGGCTCACCTGTCCCTCACCACACTCAAGGCCAATTCTGTCTTTTAAAAGAAAGAATTAAAAAATAGAAAAGATGGCGACGTGAAAGGTGAGACAGAGGCTTCCTCCTAAAACCACATATAATATGAAAATATAATTAATACAACTAATTCCAAAAGAGCAACAGGAAAGAAGGCTGCACCAGACTGCATACACCTGCAGAACAGAGCAGACCTCACAAACGGGGTAACACACCAAAGCCACGGCCCGGAAGGACAGAAGACCTTCCCCCAACCCAGCTCACTGTCGAGAGGAAGAGAAATGGAACGGGGAGGGAGTGGAGGCCTGGGACTGCTGAACACCTGGCTCTGGAAATCTGCTCTGGGAGCACAAACCTACATTACATGGTACTCTCGTAATTAATGGGGTTGGAAAGCTAAGAGAGGCAGAACACCTGGAGAGACTGAGATTCCATATGCTCATGGAAGCATGGATCCATATCCGGCTGCTCTGGGAAAAAAGAAAGGCAGGCAGCCTGAGAGATGTCCTAACAATGAGAGAGCTGCTAAAGGGGCAAGGATTGCACAGAGCTTATTACTCAGGAGAAAGTACAGGTAGACAAAACTGTCCAGGTGCAAACTGCCCAGCAGGTTGGAAACTTTCACAATCTTCAGTTGCTCCAGCGTCCAGGCTGGCTATGCAACTCCAAGGCCCACCTCCATGATACGCAGCCTGCTGTGCCTTCCTCCCAGCAAGCCCACACCTGGCTGGCTCTCAAACCAGCAAACCCTACCCTGCCATTAGGCCAGCCAGAGGGAGGCCTGACTACAGCAGCTACAAATGCAAAGCATACAGGCTTATACCTGTGTCCTCAGCCTGCTGGTTTTGGGAGTGGAGACAGGCACAGAAGCCAGGAAGCAGGAAGCAGTTCTTTCCTCCCCGCAAGCACCAACACTGTTCCCGTGCAACACCTAACATTGCTTCAGGGACAGAGTAACATGAGAGAGTACAGCTTATGGGCACTAGAGGGTGCCACATACAAATATGAAATATCAAAGGACCCTGGTTCAAAGCAAACTTATAAACACACCAGAAAAAGAGTCAAATGAAATTGACCTCATGAATCTTCCAGAAAGAGATTTCAAAATAAAAATCACAAACATGCTCATGGAGATACACAAAAAATATTCAAGAACACAGGAATGAATTCCAGTCGGAGAACCAATCATTATGGAACACAGTATCAGAAATGAAACATATGATGTAAGGTTTTAAAAGCAGATTAGACATGGTAGAGGAGACAATAAATGAAACTGAAATTAGAAAAGAGAAATACAAAGTTGAGGCACAGAGAGAAAAAAGAATCTCTAAGAATGAAATAATATTGACAGAACTGTGTGACCAGTCCAAACGGAACAATATTCACATTATAGGAGTACCAAAAGAAGGGAGAAAAAGGGATAGAAAGTGTCTTTCAGGAGGTAATTGCTGAGAACTTCCCCAATCTGGGGAATGAGATACTCTCTCAGGCCATGGAGAAGCACAGATCTCCCACCACAAGGGACCCAAGGAAGACAACATCAAGACATATAGTAATTAAAATGTCAAAGATCAAGGATATTAAAAGCAGCCAAAGAGAGAAATAAGATCACATACAAAGGAAAGCCCATCAGGCTCTCATCCAACTTCTCAACAGAAACCTTACAGGCCAGAAGGGAGTGGCATGACATAATTAATGCAATGAAGCAGAAGGACCTCCAAACAAGAATACTTTACCCAGCAAGATTATCATTTAAATTTGAAGAAGGGATTAAACAATTTCCAGATAAGCAAAAGCTGAGAGAATTTACCTCCCACAAACTGTCTCTACAGTGCATTTTGGAGGGACTGCTATAGGTGGAAGTGTTCCTAAGGTTTAATAGCTGTCACCAGAGGCAATAAAACCACAGTAAAGAGGGTAGAATAGTTAATTACTAAGCAAATCCAAAATTAAATGAACTACCCCTAAAGTCAATCAAGGGACAGACAAAGAGTACAGAATGTGATACCTAGTATATATGAAGAATGGAGAAGGTACAAAAAGGAGGAAAAAAGAAGAACCTTAATATTGTGTTTGTAATAGTATACTAAGTGAAATAAGTTAGACTCTTAGATAGTAAGGAATGTCACCTTGAAAGTTTGGTAACCACAAAACTAAAGCCTGCAATGACAGTAAGTACATACCTATCGATAATTACCCTAAATGTAAATGGTCTCAATTCACCAATCAAAAGACATAGAGTCACTGAACGGATAAAAAAGCAAGACCCATCTATATGCTGCCTACAAGAGACTCACTTTAAACCCAGACATACACAGACTAAAAGTGAAGGGATTGAAAAAGATATTTCATGGAACTAATAGGGAGAAAAAAGCAGGAGTTGCAGTACTTGTATCAGACAAAATAGACTTCAAAACAAAGAAAGTCCAAGAGACAAAGAAGGACTTTACATAATGACAAAAGGGTCAATCAAACAAGAAGATATAACCATTATAAATATCTATGCACCCAACATAGGAGCACCTAATATGTGAAACAAATACTAACAATTAAAAGGGAAAAGAATGCAATGCATGCATTCTAGGAGACTTTAGCACTCTATTCAATCCAAAGGACAGATCAACAAGACAGAAAATAAATAAGGAGACAGATGCACTGAATAACACATTAAAACACATGGACCTAACAGACATCTACAGAACTCAACACCCAAAAGCAGCAGAATACACATTCTTCTCAAATGCACATGGAACATTTTCAAGAATACATCATATACTATGCCACAAAAAGAGCCTCAGTAAATTCAAAAAGATTGAAATTGTACCAACCAGTTTCTCAGATCACAAAGGTATGAAACTAGAAATAAATTACGCAAAGAAAATGAAAAAACCCAAAAACATCAGGGCTTAACAACATGATCCTAAATAATCAATGGATCAATGACCAAATAAAAACAGAGATCAAGCAATAAATGGAGACAAATGACAACAATAATTCAACACCACAAAATCTGTGGAAAGCAGCAAAGGCTGTGCTAAGAGGAAAGTATGCTGCAATACAGGCCTACCTCAGGAAAGAACAATCTCATATGAACAGTCTAAACTCACAATTAATGAAACTAGAAAAAGAAGAACAAATGAGGCCCAAAGTCAGTAGAAGGAGGGACCTAATAACAATTAGAGCAGAAATAAAATTGAGAAGAATAAAAGAATAGACAGAATCAATGAAAGCAAGACCTGGTAAATAAACAAAGCAGATAAACCATTAGCCAGACATATCAAGAAAAAAAGAGAGTCTACTCACATAAACATAATCAGAAACGAGAAAGGAAAAATCACTACTGACACCACAGAAATACAAAGAATTATTAGAGAATACTATGAAAAATTATATGTTAAGAAACTGGATAACCTAGAAGAAATGGACAACTTTCTAGAAAAAAAGAACCTTCCAAGGTTGACCCAGTAAGGAACAGAAAATATGAACAGAACAATTACCAGCAATGAAATTGAACAGGCCAACAAAAACCTACCTACAAACAAAACCCCTGGAGCAGATGGCTTCACCGCTGAATTTTATCAAACATTTAGTGAAGACTTAACACCCATCCTTGTTAAAGTTTTCCAAAGAGTAGAAGAACAGGTAATACTTCCAAACTCATTTTATGAGGCCAGCATCACTCTAATACCAAAATCAGGCAAAGACACCACAGAAAAAGAATATTACAGCCCAATATCCCTGCTGAACAGAGATGCAAAAATACTCAACAAAATATTAGCAAACCGAATTCAAAAATACATCAAAAAGATCATCCATTGTGATCAAGGAAGATTTATTCCAGGGATACAAGGATGGTATGATATTAAAAAATCCATTGACATCATCCACTACATCAACAAAAAGAAGGAGACAAACCACATTGATCATCTCCACAGATGCTGAAAAAGCATTTGAAAAAATTCAACATCCATACATGATAAAAACTCTCAGCAAAATGGGCACAGAGGGCAAGTACCTCAACATAATAAAGGCCATATATGACAAACCCACAGCCAACATTATACTTAACAGCGACAAGCTGAAGTCTTTCCCTTTAAGATCGGGAACAAGACAAGGATGCCCACTCTCCCCACTTCTATTCAACATAGTTCTAGAGGTCCTAGCCACAGCAATCAGACAACACAAAGAAATAAAAGGCATTCAGATTGGCAAGAAAGAAGTTAAACTGTCCCTGTTTGCAGATGACATGATATTATATATAAAAAACCCTAAAGAATCCACTCCAAAACTACTAGATCTAATATCTGAGTTTGGCAAAGTTGCACCATACAAAATTAATACGCAGAAATCTGTGGCATTCCTGTACACTAACAATGAACTAGCAGAGAAAGAAATCAGGAAAACAATTCCATTCACAGTTGCATCAAAAAGAATAATACCTTGGAATAAACCTAACCAAGGAAGTGAAAGATCTATACCATGAAAACTACAAGACACTCATGAGAGAAATTAAAGAAGATACCAATAAATGGAAACACATCCCATGCTCATGGATAGGAAGAATTAATATTGTCAAAATTGCCATCCTGCCTAAAGCAATCTACAGATTCAATGCAATTCCTATCAAAATACCAATAGCATTCTTCAATGAACTAGAGAAAATTCATTCTAAAATTCATATGGAACCACAAAAGACCCAGAATATACAAAGCAATCCTGAGAAGAAAGAATAAAGCAGAGGGCATTATGCTCCCCTACTTCAAGCTCTACTACAAAGCCATAGTAATCAAGACAATCAGATACAGGCACAAGAACAGACCCATAGACCAATGGAACAGACTAGAGATCCCTGATATAAATCCAACCATATCTGGTCAATTAATATATGATAAAGGAGCCATGGATATACAATGGGGAAATGACAGCCTCTTCAATAACTGGTGCTGGCAAAACTGGACAGTCACAGGCAAGAAAATGAAACAGGGTTATTGTTAACCCCATGCACAAAAGTAAACACAAAATGGATCAAATACCTGAATATAAGTCATGAAACCATAAAACTCTTACAAGACAGCATAGGCAAAAATCTCCTGAATATAAGCATGAGCAACTTCATTCTGAATGCATCTCCTTGAGCAAAGGAAACAAAATAAAAAATGACCTAATGGGACTACATCAAACTAATTAGTTTCTCTTTGGCAAAGGACACCATCAACAGAACAAAAAGACACCCTACAGTATGGGAGACTAGATTTGTAAATGACATATCTGACAAGGGGTTAACATCCAAAATATACAAAAAATTACATGCCTCAACACCTAAAAGGCAAATAACCCAATTAACAAATGGGCAGAGGATATGAAGAGACAGTTCTCCAAAGAAGAAATTCAGATGGCCAACAGGCACATGTAAAGATGCTCCACATCACTAATCATCAGGGAAATAAAATTAAAACCACAATGAGATATCACCTCACACCAGTAAGGATGGTCAACATCGAAAAGACTAAGAACAATAAATGCTGGCAAGGATGCAGAAAAAGGGGAACCCTCCTACACTGCTGGTGGGAATGTAAGCTGGTTCAACCATTGTGGAAAGCAATAGGGAGGTTCCTCAAAAAACTAAAAATAGAAATATCATTTGACCCGGAAATCCCACTCCTTGGAATTTACCCAAAGAATACAACTTCTCAGATTCAAAAAGACATATGCACCCCTATGTTTATCACAGCACTATTTACAATAGCCAAGAAATGGAAGCAACCTAAGTGTCCATCAGCAGATGAATGGATAAAGATGTGGTACATATACACAATGGAATATTATTCAGCCATAAGAAGAAAACAAATCCTACTATCTGCAACAATATGGATGGAGCTAGAGGGTATTAGTATGCTCAGTGAAATAAGCCAGGTGGAGAAAGGCAAGTATCAAATGATTTCACTCATCTGTGGAGTATAAGAACAAAGAAAAAACTGAAGGAACAAAACAGCAGCAGACTCACAGAACCCAGGAATGGACTAACAGTTACCAAACGGAAAGGGACTGGGGAGGATGGGTGGGAAGGAGGGAAAAGGGGGAAAAAGGGGTATTACGATTAGCACACATAATGTAGCGAGGGGGTAGGGGGGACACATGGGAAAGGTAGTATATACAGAGAAGACAAGTAATAATTCTATAGCATCTTACTACGCTGATGGACAGTGACTGTAATGGGGTATGTGGGGAGGACCTGATAATAGGGGGAGTCTAGTGACCATAATGTTCAAGTAATTTTACATTAATGATATCAAAATTTAAAAATTTTTAAATTTAAGAAAAAGAAGAAAAAAACACATGCAGGCCTGCAGTTCAGAAAGAAAATATATATATATATATAGGCAGAGGATATGAAGAGACAGTTCTCCAAAGAAGAAATTCAGATGGCCAACACACACATGAAAAGATGCTCCACATCACTAATCATTGGGGAAATGCAAATTAAAACAATGAGATATCACCTCACACCAGTAAGGATGGCCAGCATCGAAAAGACTAAGGACAACATATGTTGGCAAGGATGCGGAGAAAGGGGAACCCTCCTACACTGTTGGTGGGAATGTAAGTTTGTTCAACCACTGGGGAAAGCAATACGGAGGCTCTTCAAAAAACTAAAAATAGAAATACCGTTTGACCCAGAATCCCACTCCTTGGAATTTACCCAAAGAATACAACTTCTCAGATTTAATAAGACATAATGCACCCCTATGTTTATCGCAGTACTATTTACAATAGCTAAGAAATGGAAGCAATCTAAGTGTCTATCAGTAGATGAATGGATAAAGAAGATGTGGTACATATACATGATGGAATACTGTTCAGCCATAAGAAAGAAACAAATCCTACCATTTGCAACAACATGGATGAAGCTGGAGGATATTATGCTCGGTGAAATAAGCCAGGCAGAGAAAAAGACAAGTGCCAAATTATTTCCCTCATTTGTGGACTATAACAACGAAGCAAAACTGAAGGAACAAAACAGCAGTAGACTCACAGACTCCAAGAAGTGACTAGTGGTTACCAAAGGGGAGGGATGTGGGAGGCCGCATGGGGAGGGAGGGAGGAGGGGATTGAGGGGTATTGTGTTTACACGTGGTGTGAGGGGTCACGGGGAAAACAGTGTGGCACAGAGAAGGCAAACAGTAAATCTGTGGCATCTTACTACACTGACGGACAGTGACTGCAACGGGAAATGCGTGGGGACTTGATAATATGGGTAAATGTAGTAACCACATTGTTTTTTCATGTGAAACCTTCATAAGAGTGTATATCAATAATTCCTTAGAAAATTATTTTAAGAAAAGATACATACTTATAATTAACACAATAAAAAGGCTTTAAAATCTCAACTACTCCTGTAGAGCTTTCTGGACAATCTTAAAATTACATTCATCTTTCAGATCCCATTTAGTCTTGCCATTGTAGCATCCCTTTCATCACCTTTCTAGAATTTTGACCATTTCTCAGGCTCCTAAAGGTTAGGAGTCCTGTGTTACTATGTCCAGGATTACAAAGCACTTAGAGATGCTCAACATTTTCAGTGATTAAACAACAGTTACTAAACTGCCCTTCCTTCCCCTCACCCAGCTAAAACAGTATGACTAATTTATTCCCCACTCAAAATTTCCCAAATATATGAAGATTAGAAAGAAAACTCTCACCTTATTAGAAGAAAGCTTGGCAGGAAATTAAACGAGATGTAGTCTTATTAAAGAAAATGTTTCTGTCCTCCTGCCCCTTTTGTTTCCACGAATCCGCTTCAACTTAAGTGAGAAGACTCTCCTTGAGAAGTCAATGATCAGGTCTCCATAACTGCTTTATCATTTCAGTATCTCTTGCTTCCTACAGGATGGTGAGGAAAATGGGGTGAGGAAAATTTGGGCAAATTCTAAAATGCCATTCGATATGTTTCAGCGAAATCAAGTTTTATGTCCAACATCTGCGTATTTTAATGTAAGAATTCTCTAACCCTGCTAAGCTCTAAATACTTTAGATACTCTAATGTTTTCATCTTGCTAGTGGGCCATTTTGTCAAATGAAGATTCCTCCTCCTTTTAACTTACAGAAGTTATAAAAATCTACCTTCATTGCCTGTATGTACGTGGAAAAGCACATTCTACCTACAGGAGCTGACGTCATCTTCTGGCTCTAAATAACAATGCGTTTGTAACTGCACACAAGCACACCCCTCACAGCGAAGAACAAGTGTTCCTTATACCCCTGCTATGTAATAGGATGGGCTGTAGTCGAAAAGATTCCTCATTTGGAAGGTCAGAGCTTTCTTTGTATAGTATTATCGTCCGTTAACAAGCTCAATTTGACAGAATTGATACTACGTTCTCTGGAAGAAGCAAAAACATTACATCGTTCTCTCCAATTTTTCCTCAACTAAAATACAAGACTGCAGAGCAGCGCGCACAGCAACGGCGAGGACCAGATAAAGCGCGTCCATGGGTGCCAGGAGGGCAAGGACCACAACTCCCCCAAGTAGGCATGTTTCCACCCTCCAAGGAGCGGTCGCTCACCACCCAAGTCAAAGTTGGGAGACACCCAAGCCCACGACAGCGCACACCGCGCTCTGGCCTGCGTTCAGAAACCTCCGGCTGTCTCCAGGACCCCAGGCGAGGAACCAGCACACACACCACGCGAGCGGCAGAAGGCCAGTTACGCACAGTTCGAACTGCAGCGGGAGCCGTTGGGGACGCTCCGCCCTGGCCCCAGCCCCGCCCCCGCGCAAGCTCTGCGTGTGGAGTCGCCGGAGGCGCAGGGCCTGCTGGGGTGAGCCCTCGCGCCTGGAACTACACATCCCATAATTACCCCCAGGACGCCCATTGGTGTTGGGGAATCCTTGGGAACCTGCGGCCGTCGGGGTATGGGGAGGGCCATGCTCAAGCCGGGCCCTAGGGGGCCAAGACCAGGGAGGGTGCGGAAGGGAACCGTGGGCCCGCCCTCAGTCCCTACCCTGAGGAGGCTAGTGTTTCCCACTCAGGCAGCATTTGCCACCGCTGCGGCCGCCACCCAGCGTTTCTTCGGGATCCAGGTTTCCGTGCCAATCACGAGGAGTCCAGGGAGGAAAAGCTGCCAGTAACCCACACCTCCCTCACCTTTTCCATCTCCAGATCGCCCGGGCAGGAATGGGCGACAAAGTGTGGCTGCCCTTCCCGGTGTTCCTCTTGGCCGCTCTGTCTCCAGTGCTGCTGCCGGGGGCAGCCTGCTTCACGCCTTCCCTAGACAGCGACTTCACGTTTACCCTCCCAGCCGGCCAGAAGGAGTGCTTCTACCAGCCCATGCCCCTGAAGGCCTCGCTGGAAATCGAGTACCAGGTAAGCGCGCAGGAGAGCCAGCCTCGTTCTTTACCAGAGCTGCACCGCGCCGTTGCCCCTCGGCCGCTCGGAAGCTTCCCGCGGACTGTGGCGGCGGAGAGGCGAGGGCCGCGGGGCACCAGACGGTCCGCGCACGCGCGAGGCTCGGTCTCGCCGGCGCCGTGGACCGAGAAGCCAGGCAGGACCTGGCGTGAGCTAGCTGCCCTCTCCCCTTTGCTCTGGTGGGACAGGGGCCAGCACTGGTGGTGTCGGTAGTTTTTCTCTGTTTCATAATTCGCCCATCGCTTTGCTAACCAGTACATACTCCAATAGTGGGAATTTCACAATATAGGACAGATACACGTTCTTCTTCATCATTGGACAAGATGATACTCGTTTTATTTAACCCCCACCACCATCACTCAATGTCGCTATTACAAATCTTCACTGTCATTGCTTCAGTTAAGGATTTTTTAATTGTGACCATGTGATTATCACTTTACCGGATTTTGGAATATTTTGAAAGGGGCTATGGATGTACTTAATGGTACATTTCCTTCGGTATATATCCATTATTTTTAAATCAAATACAACCTACTTGTATATTAAAAACTTTATAAACTTTCTTAAATTCTACATTGTAAGCATTTCTCCTGTGGGATTGTTTTCTTTTTAGTAGTCTAGTATCATACAGGGAATTGTCTTAATTTATGTGGTCATGGCATAGAGAAATTTCTTAGAAGAAATCTTAGTTCCATACAGCTAATTTCGATGTTTCTAAGAAGCATTGCAAAAAAAAAAAAAAATGCATTGGTGTAGTCCATCTTTTAATTTTTTTCCAAGTTATTTAATATCGGATGTTAATTTTTTTAAGTTGCTGTAGGGAATCTTTTTTTAATAACAGGTGCTGTCACATACAGAGCAAAAGAAAAAGTTATGTAGAATGTTCATCGGAAGGAACTTTAGAATCTAACTTTAGAATTAGATTACTTATAGATGCATAAAATAAGCATAGGGAGTAAAGTATTTAAAGTTACAAAGAGAGTGAAAACTTGAGTCTAGAACTCAACATCACTTGATTTCTAGTCCAGTTCAAAAGGCCATTTACTGAATAGTAATGTGATGGTAGTGAAGATGAAAGAATCTGTATTTTTCAAGGATGGTAATATTTAAAACATACTGACACATAAATAGGTAATTCCAATAAAATATGATTAATTGCTGTTAGAGGAGGGCCACTTCTCTGAGGTTTCAAACAGGATTCTAGAGAAAATAAATTTGAATCTAGAAAGATGTTTATGTGAGACAGCAATGCAAGGAAGGAGTGGCATTTCAGAAAGAGTGAAATTAACTGACAGTTCTGAAAAAGCACAGTGTGAGGGTTTGGTGGTGGGCAATATGTAGTGGACACTACAAGTGGTGAATTTTTATTGGACTTTAAGACTATAGTCTAGGGTAGAAGAAAACGATTGGAGAGGTCAGGAGGCTGGATCATGGATCATGAACCTTAGCTTTGTGCACCACTGTAAGTAGCTTTGTCCTTATTCTGTACAAGGGCCATTGAAGATTTAAAAAGCATGGTAACACAGTCAAAAATGTTTTTCAGAGAGACCATTGGGTACAGTGTGGAAAATGGGTTTAAGGGAAGCAAAATCAGAGGTAAGGAAACTAATTAGGGGGTTAGTGAAATAGTCCAGGTACAAAAACCATTTGTACTTAAAAGTTCCTCAGTATTTACCCAGGTATTAGGGAGAAAATCTATTTTAACAGCTGACCTCTTGTGATTAAAAAAGAGTTCTAACTCTAGAGGTAAAATGCCTGGGTTGATATCCTGTCACTTAATACCGGTGTGATTTTGATCAGTTTACTTAACTTGTCTCTTATAAAACAGACAGTAGTAGTAGTAATTACCTCACAGAGTTGATTTGAAAACAATGAGTTAATAAATGTTCATAGACCATCCTGGACACAGTAAATAGTCAATGTTAGTTTGCTTTACATGTACATTTCTAGAGTTATATAAATGGCTTCCTTTAGCTTTATACTTTGCCTCTTTATTCACCTAAAGGTACTCTTCCCAAAAGCATTCTCCCTAAACAATTTCATTGCTTTGACTGAGAAGTAAAATAATTTAATGTATGTAATCCTGGACAGTGTTGGAGAAGTTTCTAGGGTAAGAGATCATCTTCAATACTTTGTTGGCATTTTCCAACTCCATGATTAATTTTCCAAAACTACAAACTCTACTGGTTATGTTGAAGTTTTTAAAATATCAGGGAACAGATATTATAGACATTGCCCTTGTGTTACTGTGACAAACTGGAAATTTTTAACCATTTGTTACCTTTCAGATTTAGGAGGACACTTTTAGGATAATTGACCAGCCCCACATTATATTAAATTCTTAGAGTTTTTAAATGTCAATACATGTATCTTACAAATAAAATTGATTACTAATTAAAAAATTTAAATCATTATTGAATGCTTAATAGTAAGCACTATGCTAGGTGCTATGGGCACAATGGTGAGTAAAAATATAGTGTAGATGCCCTCTAGTATCCTACTAGATACAATCTAGTATGGAGATAGACATTCATAAAATTACTACACAAATAAATGTGAAATTACAGCTCTAATAAGTGCTATGAAGGTAAGTGCATACAGCTATGAGAATATATAATACGAGGACTTGATGACATCTGGGAATTGAGAGAAGACATCCCAGAAGTGGAGTTCAGATCTATAGAAGAATCAAGCTTACTAGGCATAAGGAGGTGACTCGAACAAGACCATCATGTCATTCCATTAAAAAGAACACAAGGTGTTGTGGAAGAAGACAGAATAGGGTACCTTTGAGGAATCAACAGACTATTACAGTAGCAGTACCAGACAGGGGAAAGGTGTTATTCACCCATCATGTTCCATTGAAGTCACTGGGAAGTTTTATTTCAGATTGTGGTATTTTTAATGAATGTTCTATATTTTAAATATATATTTTATACATTTTTAAATTGGCTTCTGTGTTCTTAAATACCATTTTTAACTATTACATTAAGCCTGACAGCCACTACCAATAATCTTTTAAATACTGTTCTAGTGAAATATTTGCTTAGTTTTGTTTTATCTCTTCTTTTCCAATTCAATGGATATTTTTTCTTTTTCAAGATAAACTTATGTGATTCTTTTAGATTGCATAGAGTCCATAGAAATCTGAAAATGGCCTTACTTCCTGCTTTCACTTCAGTAAATATAGTTTTTTTACATGGGAATATTGAAATAAAGACTCCATTGTATTTTCTTGCATCTAGTGTTATATGATTAAGAATTCTCATGCCAATCCCAGTTCTTGTTATTGTGCAGTTCTCTACTACTTCTCACTGGAAATTTCTAGATTATTTTTAAATCCTTTGAAAAAGTCAGTAGGCTTGAATCATTTTTCATTTATCCTGCTTCACATCTATTATTTTATCTTTTGAAGTAGGTATTTTTATTCTTTTATATGATTTCCTCCCATCCTTTATCTTGGTTCTCTCCTTTTGAAATGCTTATTGGATGGATATTTGAACTCTTTGGTTCTGTCTTAATTAAGGGTTTTACCACTTTTCATCTATACTTTTTCATGTTATTATGCGAATTCCTTAGTAGAGCTCCTAGTTCTCTGATTTTTAGTGTCCACCCATGTTCATTCTGCTATCATACATTTGTTAAGGCTTTATTTTGGCAGTCACCTTTTTGGTTTTCTATTAACTTTTTCTTACCAACATCTGCGTTTTTTATGGATTTTGCATTCTTCAGTTTCCCAGAGAATATACATTGTATGTATCTGAGGAAACATTTTAAAGTCTGTTTACATTAACTATTTTTTCAGAATTTGATCCTCTGAGAAAACCCTAACATGAAGAATGGGGCATCAATTTCAGCAAATATTTAGTGTCTGGTCTGCTTAATGATTTTGAGATTGATAATAGGTATTGGTAATTAGATACATTCTTTGCTCAGTGGAGTATCTTCCTGGGATTCCTTACTCTTCAAGGCCATTAACAGTCTTCCTTGGTTTCCATGTTCTTATGGATTATTTGTGTTATTTCTTTATTTCATTGGGATTTAAAGAAGAAAAAGAGTTTATATATTTAGCCATTTGAAACCAATTGTGTTGATTAGTGATAGAGCACAGGATTAGGTAATCTTTTATATCATTCCATTAAAGCAACCAAGAAAAATAAAAATGGAGTGTTATATAAGAAAAAGAGTAGCTATTAGAGACAGATGGCTGAGTTCAAATTTTGACCATGCCATTTGCAGTATCACCTTGGGAAAATTACTTCTGTGTGCCTCAGTTTTATATGTGTGTATGTTTCAATAAAAGAACAATAATAGCATCTACCTTTCAGAGTTGTGAGGAATACATTAATCCACATAAAGAACTTAAAACAATGTGTGGCATAAACTTAATTTTTAGCTGCTATCTTCATCATCATCAGGACATTTTGAGATTGTAAAGGTACAGATTGTATTCAAATGCCAGTAAGAAAGCAGCCTACTTGGAATATATAGTTCATTTTGGAAATAGCAAATGAGTGTATTGAAGAATTTAGTTGGAGTCAGATCATGGAAGCCTTGAGTTCCAGGCTAAAAGGTAGCTAATTAATATTCTTACTTTATTGAAGAGGAAACAAACTCAGAAAAGTTAAATAGCATGCCCTAAATTGCCCAGGTAAAAGGTCCACCGTTTGAACTCATTCCTGTTTCTTTCTGCTCTTCAGAGCTTCTCAAAGAAGGCTCTTTTATAGGGATTATTTCAGTAATACCCATAGACCTAAGTGTAGGTGATGGCAACAGGAATTGGTAAGAAAGGGACAAGTTCCAAAAGTGAATGGAATTGAACCAGATAATCTTTCTGCTTCTTTCTAGCCCTGAGTACATTGACTTCTTACCCCTCTGTGTTTTGAAAGAAAATCTTTTTATCATATGACCTACTACATAACATTTTTTACTTTCAGAAGATTCATTTCAAAGTGTGTTTTTCTTTTCTGTACTTTTCAACAGGTTTTAGATGGAGCAGGATTAGATATTGATTTCCATCTTTCCTCTCCAGAAGGAAGAACCTTAGTTTTTGAACAAAGAAAATCAGATGGAGTTCACACGTAAGTAATCTCTTATTTGAGTTTCTTGGGCTGAATAATACCAGTGGACTATCTGCAGGACAGGGAAATTTAGTACTTTTGATGTTAAGTATCAGTATTAAATGATTCCATATGAACATCTTAATTCTTCTTGATAGGGTTCTATCTTAAATTAAAATGTAGTCCATTAACCTTTTTATTTTTGTTTAGGCATTTTGTGTTGATCCTAAATTTTTTCTTTGCTTTTGTTAAATAGATGAGTATTCCTGAGGTATTGCATTCCATCTATTGTGGCATTTTAAACCTGACTTTGTGGCTAGCACAGGCTTTCCATTTTAACTAGAAGTTACTATTCTAGGTATGAATCCTGAAGTTTTTGAGCTGCTGGCTGTGTCATCTTTGCCCATTGCTTTCTTCTTAGAACAACAGCTCAGTACATCTTTGTGTGTGTGTAAAAACTATGTTTTACTCAAACCTCACTCTTGTTAGATAATTAGAAAACCTGAAAGTAAAAGATCTGACCATAGGAAACCATATAGAAAGAAGATACTTGTTATAACTCTTTGAGTTTAGAATTTGACAAAAAAGCATATCTTCTTTATATCTCACCTCCTTTTTTTCATATCTTACTAGTGTGTTTCATTGTTCCATCCTGTTATGTTACTACAGCACTATGTTAAAGCTACACTGAGAATTGATAGAAATAAGAGGAGCAAATACAGAATGTCTAATATTTGCCATAAATGAGACTTTGCATTTTAGATACTTCTAAATTTATCATTCCAACCCGTTAGGAGATAGATTCTTTGATTCCCCAATTCCCATTTTACAGACAAGGAGGTTCAGAGAAGTTAAAAAAGTCTGCAGGGATACACATTTATTAAGAGGGAGCAGAATGGACCAAAATTCTTGCTTTCTACCATATGATGCTTAACATCCCTGGCACATAGTTCTATGTAAGTACCAGCTACTATTAGAATTATTGGTCTTTGTTAACCAAAGTACCTGGCATGTAATTGGTATTCATGTATGAATACATGTATAAATAAATGAGGGGAAAATGTCTCAACCATAATTTTTAAGATATTCATTTCAAAGGGCTTCTTAAAATCTCATTTTACCTAATGCAGAACTCAGAAAAATATTTGCATAAAGTATTAATAAGTAAAATAGAAAATAATCATTTTAAGTCAGTTTAGGATACACATTTTTCCAAAGAAGACATACAGATGGCCTACAGACACATGAAAAGATGCTCAACGTGACTAATCATCAGGGAAATGCAAATCAAAACCACAATGAGATATCATCACTTCATACCAGTCAGAATGGCTAACATCAATTACACAAGAAATAACAAGTGTTGGTAAGGATGTGAAAAGGGAACCTCCTACACTGTTGGCAGGAATGTAAATTGGTATAGCCAATGTGGGGAGCAGTATAAAAGTTTCTCAAAAATCTAAAATTAGAAATAATGTATGACCCAGTATTCCCCTGAAAACAAAACCACTAATTTGAAAAGATACGTTCATTCTTACATTTATTGCAGAATTATTTATAATAGCCAAGATATGGAAGCAACCTAAGTGATGATAGATGAATGGTTAAAGATAACACACACACACACAGGAATGTTACTCAGCCATAAAAAGGAATGAAATCTTGCCATTTGTTACAGCATGAATGGACCTACAAGGTATTAGGCTAAGTGAAGTATATCACACAGAGAGACAAATACCATATAATTTCAATTTCTCTTATATGTGGAATCTAAAAAACAAGTGAACAAAAGAACAAAACAGAAATAGACTCAAACACAGAGAACATAGAGAAGGGGTTGCCATAGAGAAGGGGAATGGGAAGTTGGGCAAATTAGGTGAAGGGGACAAGGAGATACAAACTTCTAGTTATAAAATAAAGTAGTCAATGGGGATGAGTGTACACCATAGGGAATATAATCAATGATATTGTAATATCTTTGTTGACAAGATGGTAGCTACATTTATCATGATGAACATTTAGTAATGTATATAATTGTTGAATCACTGTTGTACACCAGAATTCAATATTATATATTGATACTTGAATTTTTAGAAGTCAGTTTAGATTGATATACTTGGAATTAGCTGTGCTTTCTCTTTGATAGGTATATGAACAAGAACTAAAAATATCATTCATTTGATACCAAGTATCAGTATTAAATTTCAGAATATAGAAAATATATAGAATTTATGTCAATTTTTCTCTCCAATTTTCTGCTTTCCTTTAGAGATAAATCAAAATTAACTGTAAGGGAAAAAGCTATCTTAGTGCTTTCTAGCATAGACTTATCTCTCATTAAACCAATGGGAGAAGAGTAAGTTTATTAGAGTTCACATTTATTAAGTCTTTTGCTCTGCCAGGCCACTGTTCTAAACACTTTACATGTTATTAATTTTTTTTTTCTTTCACAATCCTATGAGATATATGATATCATTTTACTGATTAGGAAATTGAGGAATAGAGCATTTAAGTTGATGTTTACACAGCTAGTGAACAGGGAAGCCAGCAATTAAATCAGGCTTAATCAGTACACCAAATTTACAAATCTACTTTCTAAAAATTAGATTTAAATAAGAATTTTATCTTTGGCTATATTAACTTTTTAAAGGCAACTAAAATCTAAGTTATTTTAGTTTTCCTTGTTTTTCTTAAGTTTTTCTGAAATAGTTTTTCTTAAGTTAAATCTTTAAAACAAATACTGTCCTTGCAGAAGCAATTATCTCCAGACAGCTTAATACCTTAAGCTGGAATTGCCTGGAATGATATGTCATATATAAATAAATTTTTCTTGACAACTGAATTAATACTACCTTAACTCATCTAACACATTTTAGACTATTTATGCTAACTCTATTCTACTTGAAAGGAAGATTTACTCTCTGCATTTTTATCTGGATAATATTTTGTATTATTTATAGTAATAAAATTCTTTATTTTATTACTAATCAAGATCCCTGATTCAAAAAGACATATGCACCCCTATGTTTATTGCAGCACTATTTACAATAACCAACATATGGAAGCAACCTAAGTGTTGTGTCCATGAGTAGATGAATGGATAAAGAAGATGTGGTACATATACACAATGGATTATTACTCAGCCATAAGAAAAAAACAAATTCTACCATTTGCAACAACATGGATGGAACTAGAGAGTATTATGTTCAGTGAAATAAGCCAGGCAGATAAAAACAAGTACCAAATGATTTCCCTCATTTGTGGAGTATAAGGACAAAGCAAAACTGAAGGAACGAAGCAGCAGCACACTCACAGACTGCAGGAAGGGACTAGCGGTTACCAAAGGGGAGGGAGGGAGAAGGGTATTAAGAGGCATTATGATTAGCACACATAATATTGGGGCGGGGGCGGGGGTGGGGGCAGGCACAGAGAAGGCTGTACAGTACAGAGAAGACAAGTAGTGACTACAGCTTCTTCCTATGCTGATGGACAGTAACTGTTATGGGGTATGTGGTGGGGACTTGATAATATGGGTGAGTGTAGTAACCACAATGTTGCTCACATTGTATAACAATGATACCTTAATAAAAATAAGAAAAAACTTAGGGACACAGCTTACCCTTTATGTCCAATGCAGATTTAAGAATGGCTAAATATAGTTGAGTTAAATAAAATTAAAACTAAACAAAATTAAAAGAAATTGAAAAGTGGAGAAAGGCAAGTATCATATAATTTCCCTTACATGTGGAATGTAAAAACAGAACAAAACAATACAGCAGTAGACTGATAGACACTGAGAAGGGACTGTGGTTACCACGGGGGAGGGATTGGAGTGGGTGGATGAAATAGGTGAAGGGGATAAAGAGGCACAAAATCTCAATCATAATATAAATTAGTTATGGGGATTAAAGTACAGCATAGAGAATATAGTCAGTTCTGTAACATCTTTCCACGTTGACAGTAACTGCACTAGTTGGGGTGAGCATTTAATAATATATATAACTGTTGAATCACTATTTAATTCAATATATGCTTGAAACCAATATAATATTGTATATCAACTATACTTTAAAAAAGAACATTAAATTTAACCTCACATACCATTCATGGCATTTTGCTTTGTTCCTTTTAAAATTGTTCCCCACTGTTTACCAGCATTTGTTTCAGGCTTCTTTCAGAGGTTAAATACGTCCTTGAAAGATAAAGGTTTGTCATGATTGAGGAGATTGGGAAGAATGCAGACAGGCTCTGAGCAGTATTGTAAAAAGGTCAATTAACTTGTGAGTCAGAAAACCAAGCTTCCTCTATGCTGTGATTATGGGCAAGTATCTTAATCCATGTGAACTTTATTAAATATTTACCTTGAAAAGATCAGTTCTGCCTACTTCCAAATAACAGTAAGGACTAAAAGAGATAAAATATGTGAAAGCAATGTGTAAATTATTTAGGCGTGTACAGTATTGGCTACTTTTATTTGTAGTGTATGTGTTAAAGCCCAGTCATATTGCTGAAAAGTTATGCTTAAATAAAATTATTAAGTTGGAAATAAGAGGAAAAAAAGAGATTAGTTTAAAAGATGAGAATCACATGTGTTCAGAAGGCTAGAGAAAATAATACAAGCCATCTCAAAATTTAAGTAATCCAGCAACTGGAGATAAGAAAACATTAAAATCATTTAGATCAACCTTCCAGGAATAGGCACAACAAAAACTAAAACATAGTTTGAACTGTGTTTTTTTGTAGCCAGCAGTACGTCATTAGCCCATGCAATATTTTAGAGTTTAACAGTTTGTTGAAGTTTCTCTCCACAAAAAAATTAATAAACCACTTAAATGAACTCTGCCCAAGCCATTTATTCTGATTGTGAAGCTAATGAGACCAGGATCATAAGTTTTAATTCAGATGTGAATGGCATTTATTCATGAAAGGTAATGCCACTGTGACTAAAGCTCTGGTTTTGGTCTGACCTCATCCCTAAACTTTGTCAACTGTAATTCAAAGATATGCTTAATCAGTAGGAGGCCTGAAAGCATTTAGAACAGTCCACCACTGCTTCTGAAAACAAAACAAAACTTACTCTACAGATTAACCTCAGTTGAAGGAGAGGTTTGTAGTCATATTTGCTTAGGAATCTGTCCAGCGGCTGCTTCTGGGAAGGTCTCTCCCTGCACACCAGGTGAAACCTCAACCTGGATGGGGGAGGGTTCTTGACTGTTAACAAGAAAGAATTCTCAAACAGGTCAGATGAGTGTAGGTAAGGAAGGAATTGATTAAAGCAAGAGTAGTAGTGAATGGCAGAACTGCCAGGCAGGTAAGGAAGAACAGAAAGAGGAAAGGGAAGCTAACTGAACTCCAGCTCGGCATAGGACAAATCCCTTGCAAACTCCTGAAGCCAGGGTTACTTGGTATCCAGTGTCCCCTTGAACCTGCACAGCGGAGGAACTAAGTCCCTACCACCCAAGGATTTGGGGGAGCTGCAGAGCACTGGATGGAGTGAGATTATGTTCTGTGAACTCCCCAAAGCAAAGAAAGATTTCGGGCAAGCTACTAAAGAACAAGATTGAAATCCTGCCCGGGTCATCCAGGTGAAGGGAACTTGCAAGCCCAAATCAGAGATCTTAGTTGCCCTTCCCTACTTGCCTGAAATTGAACAGAGAGTGAAGACTTGTGCTTAAATGTAGAAAATTAATTGAAACAGAGTAACAAAGACACCACTGGAAGAGTGCAGAGACAAAACTTAGGAAGTTAAGCAGTGAGATTTTAAGGCAAAAAGTACATACATGAAGGGGAGTGCAGGCATCCTCAGAGAGGTGGTGTGCTTGAGGGCTTAGGATGCTTTTAAGGCTTTCAAGAATAGGGCAAAGGGGGGTGGGGGTAGGCTTGACATGTGATCTTATGATGTCTGTTTCCAGTGAGAGACATTATGTCAACCATCCATAGTCTGTCCTCTAGATATTCTGTAAAATAAATTTAACACAAATTTCTTGATTCTATTATCCAGGATAGTGGTTACCCTCAAGCCATGGGGACATATCATTTAGGACTGCTTGCCCTGCCTTAAGATAGGGTCAATTGTTGGCTGATTACCATAAAATGTTAGGAATCTTACCTCCCAACGCCCTGTTGTTGTGTTTTAATGGAATCTTAGCCTTAAGATGGAGTCCCTCCTGTTCTTACTGTAGTATTTATAGCTCGGCATTTTCCATCATAGGCAGGAAAAATAAATCATAATGCTTATCCCGTGTGTCTACCCTACCTCCAGTTGAACTCGTGATAACTTTTTTTAATATTATATAAATATTAATGTTCATTGTGAAGTATCATGTATCTAGGTTTTTAATCCTATCCTTTTCCAAAAATTAGGTCATTTCCCATAACTTACCAAGTAAATGCCAACCACATCTACGTTGTAAGTACTTGTATATTTCCAGTTTTCTCTTATCCAAGAAGTTAAAAGTTATCTTTCAATACTAAGGAAGTCTATTGGTAAACTGTCCAATTATTATAAACCATGTTTTCTTTTTTATTTTCCTTTGGTCCCAAATAGAAGTATAGATAACTGAAGATGTACTTTTTTAAATACAGGGTAGAGACTGAAGTTGGGGACTACATGTTCTGCTTTGATAATACATTCAGCACCATTTCTGAGAAAGTGATTTTCTTTGAATTAATCCTGGATAATATGGGAGAACAGGACCAAGAACAAGAGGACTGGAAGAAATATATCACTGGCACAGATATGTTGGATATGAAACTGGAAGACATCCTGGTCAGTACAGTTTTTTAATAAGATAAAAATTAACATCCAGAGGCCTTACCATGTGCTAGGCACTGACCTAAGCATTTTATCTGCATTACCTCAGGTAATCCTTTTTTAATTTTAAAAGGATTACTATCTATATCTCTCCAATGAGGAAATTGTGGCTTAGGGAGATTAGATAATATTTCTGTTAGACAATATACATAAGAGGGAAAGAGGAAAAACCAAAATTTGAACTCAGGCTTTTAACAACAAAATTCCTTTAGAATGTTTACAAACACAAGAATGCAGTGATGTGTAGAGCGTACTTGCACATAGAATAAAACTGAGTAATTTGTAAATATGTAAGATGTAAAGGCATTTTCCTCACAGCATAGTTTTTATATCATTAAATTTAATATTGTTTGATTAATATGGGAACCCTGTTCACATTTCTCAGATCAGACCAAGCAGTTATCAGAAATTATCACTACATTTAGGAGTAAAAACTTTTAGGAAATGGCTTCTTTGCATCAGTTGTTTTATGCTTTGTCATAAGCATGCATAGTGAAATGTGCACATATAACAATCTATTTACTAATAATAGTCCTGCCAGTGATGGGACAGTAGGGGGAGGTCAGCTAGATGTAGCTATAGATTACTCAGTGATATTTATAAATAGCATATATACTTGTATTACAGAAATTCCGGCAGGACAAATAAGATGGTTATTCCAAGTTGAAACTATATAACCTCTAATACCCTTATAAACTGAACCTTTTTAAAAGAATGTGATACTTTGATCACTTCAGGTTTCTTAGGAAAGCAACTATCAAATTACAGCAGAAGAGACACTGTAGATCAGTTAGCTTAAGTCAAAAAATTAAATAACCCTGTCATTTGTAATTCTTTAGTGACTGAGCTCTTTGAGCACTGGTTTCCTAACCTCAAAAACTGAGATAATACCTCAAGTTGTTGTAAGGATGAAACATGATATAGCATGTGTATAAATGCTTTAAACAGCATCTGGCACACAATAAATGCTAGTTTTCTTATCTTTTCCACTGGTGTTAACTGTGAATACAAACTGAAATCAGGATTAAGTTTAATCAGCATGACTTTTTACCATGAGTTTTTATCTCACCATGATTTCATAAGTATGTTAAACTTGGTTGAATTTTAGAACTGAAAGATAGTTACCATTAATACAGCTCCAACCTCCTTCCTTTTCCTTTTCATTCCATTTTTCAGATAAGGAACTGGCTTAAATGGGAATGATGGCATCCATAGTTCAACAACTAGTCTTTTCCAACCATTTTTTAAATTTCAATCACACTAATATATTCTTCCGTATTAAATTAATTTTGCCAACAAGAACAAAATACAGTAGTTGATTAGTTCTTCACTGTATTCTCAAGAGATTGACTTCATTCACACAGTTAAACAAAATGACCAGTTCACATTTAAATTTGGTTTAAAATACTTTCCCTTATTAAAGAAAAATGTCTTTTGGGAACTTTTCCATTATTTACCTCTCAAAACTTTTGATAACAGGAAATTTGAATACATTTGACAATCATCATTCTGATGAAAAGAACCATGCCTGTTCCTTCATTTGGGGATCTGAATCCTGTATTTATTGGAAAATATTTGCCTTAATAGGTTAGTCACATTTTTAATTAACTTTTACTGAGCATTCTTACAATAAAATCATTTTATTTCCAGGAATCCATCAACAGTATCAAGTCCAGACTAAGCAAAAGTGGTCATATCCAAACTCTGCTTAGAGCGTTTGAAGCTCGTGACCGAAACATACAAGAAAGCAACTTTGATAGAGTCAATTTCTGGTCTATGGTTAATTTAGTAGTAATGGTGGTAGTGTCAGCCATTCAGGTTTATATGCTGAAGAGTCTATTTGAAGATAAGAGGAAAAGTAGAACTTAAAACTCTGAACTAGAATAGTTAATATTTAAAAACAAAAAAGAAAAAAGCAATAAATGTTACAGTCAAGACCATTAATTATCTTTTCCAAAATATTTTGAGGCATTACTCTAAGTGTGAAACAAGTATAATCTTAATATGAAAGTCTTCACTTTGATCTGTGTGAATTTTATTGCTCCAGTTGTATTTAAGGGTATAATGGAGATTTTGCAGACTAAAGGTATATTGAATGAAGCCCTCATTAATAATGGCATTTTTATAAGTTTGAAAAAATTTTGTAAATGTATTAGGTGAAAAGATTTTTACCCAGTACTTTCTTTGTAAGTGACAAAGTAGATGTTTTCAATATATTGAAGTTTCTTTGTAAATGTGGGAATTACAAATTAATTGTATAAGTTTTCAATATATTAAGTTATAAATCATCCGAGAATTACCAAATCATGGATTGAATATATCTTTTGAAGACAAAGATTAAACTTTCCTTTTTAAATATGCATTCTTCTGAAATGTAAGTAGAAGCATAGCTGTAAAGAACAGATTTGTGAGATTTTTACAATTGAGTGTATATTTCAATTTAAAATACTAGCATAAAGTATGTTTTATATAATAAGCTTTCATTCCCAAAAGCTGACATTTTGATCATTCTTAAAAGTGCAAATTCAAACTAAAAAAGGACAGATTTTTCTCGTTTGAAGTAAACAATAGCTAACAGTTGTTTAGTCTCCATAAGGACACTTTCTGTCTAATCCTTAACCCTAAGGTATAGGATTTTTAAATTAAATGTGATGAAAAATGATTTTTATATTATCTGTCAACAGTGTTACATTAACATGATTACTGTCTTGGATAATATATTTTTACCGGCAGTTGTAAAGAAAATATTGCCAAAAAGGATTTGGTCCTAACGTAAATATCTCCTTTTCTGAGTTCTTAAAATCAGTTTAAAAAAATATTTGGTAAGCTTGAAAATACCTGATCAAAATAAAGTCCACTTAATAAACTGTAAGTATCTGGAGTCTAATTGACTCATTATGATGAGATTAATCTCCAGTTAACTGGAAAAACTACTTGGCTGTAGGTTATATTTTTTATAATTGTTTTGTTGTTTTGAACTATCTAAGTATTCAGGTATACTTTATGAAACATAAGGCCTACTGTAAGGTGTTTAGCACTGGGTATACATAATTTTTTTATTATAACTTTCATAAAATGTGCTTTGTGATCACTTTATTTAACAATAATCAAGTTAGGACTGGAAATCTATAGGATGCCAAGTTTAAATACTCAATATGTGAACAACTCGGCCACCCTATCTTATCTGTGGAGTCTTACTTACAGTGGTAATTTAGCTTACATCATTAAATAGAATTTTTAGGTTACACCCATTTGCAATATTAAGACAAATATGAGTTAGAAACAATCAACTTATAAATCAGAATCCCTCTGTTGGCTAGTACTGATGGAAACCACAGAATAGTTTCTTTTGTAATTTACACTCACAGTGGTACAAAAAGACATTTCCCTCTTAATGCCCTTGAGAAGAACAGCAGCTTAGATTTCCCTATTCTGAAGCTTTTTAAAAATGAGGTAAACACCATACATATGATTGATTACCTAGGTTGACCAAGAAAATGTTTTTAAGTGTCTAGGAGTACCCCTGTAACACATTAAGGGTCAAAAAAATCATTGCCTGTGAAGATTTCTCTCCCTTTACTCCTGTTAAACTTATAAGAAGAACAAACTTATAGTATTATAACATAACAGTATAGATATAAAACATATAAACTACTATATCTTTTCTGTAAAACTGTGATTAAGAAGTCTACCTCTGGCTGGTTACTGTACTGCACTCTGATTCCTTACCTAACAATGAATTTGTTATGTCATCTTCTACATATGATTTGTGCCACTGATTTAAAACCTATAATTCAGTAACTTCTTAGCATATAATAATGGCCTTATTTGGAAAACAAAGAATTTAGAAATACTGAGAACAATTTTTATAGATACAAACTGAAAAGAGATTTTAAATGTAACATATTGCCTGCATTAACCAAAAAAAGTACAATTTGCAAAGAACCAAATTCTTTAATATTTCTTAAAGCATATATAGTTTATCTGCCTCATAATTTTTAATGTCAGTATTCAGTTTTGAAATTAAAATTATGCTAAAATTGAGTGAGCTAGTTATCACTTCTAATAGTGGATCTTGTCTTTGGTTATTAATTATATAGCCTTTTAAATACTACATATTTAAGGGCTAGAGTTTCATTCTGATTTGCATTTGGATCATTAATGATATGCTATTTTTTAATATGAATGTCAATACATAGTAAATATATTCAGTTTTGAAATTAAAATTATGCTAAAATTGAGTGAGCTAGTTATCACTTCTAATAGTGGATCTTGTCTTTGGTTATTAATTATATAGCCTTTTAAATACTACATATTTAAGGGCTAGAGTTTCATTCTGATTTGCATTTGGATCATTAATGATATGCTATTTTTTAATATGAATGTCAATACATAGTAAATAAGTGGTTCATATAGCATTGCAATAAAGAACTGAAATGTAATTTTACATTATGTTTATCTTTAAGCATTGTCTTAAAATGAACAAAAAATGAATACCTTTAATTGTATGCCTCCTGAAATGAAAATTCTTTATCTTAAATTTTAAAAATTGACTTAGCATGTGATAGCTTTTCATCTGAAGTGTAATAACGCACAATCAGTGTTTGAATTCCCTGACAGCTGTGGACAGCCATATTAAATGAACAATAAATACTGGGCTGAGTATAATAAAAATTACAATCAATGAAAAATCTTATCTCCCAGTCATCGTAAATGCTTTCTAATCCTTAAAGCCTTTACTGATCTAATATTAGCGAAGTGTGTTCTCCCTTCCATTTGAAAACCCCTCTCTTTACATTTCTTATTGTGTGTCAATTCTAATTCTACCTTGCACTTGTTTTTTGTACAAGTACTACTCATCTGTTGGCCAAACATGCATTGAAACTAAAAGGTACTAAAAACATAGAAGCAAAAAGAATCAGTTCTGAAAGTCTGGAATGATAAATAAACACCCCAGGTAGCTTGTTTTACTCCTCTACCATACCCCATAAATTGTTTAGATCTGGAATATGGCTTCAGAATCTTTTTTTTTTGTTTGTTTTTTTAAAAATTGAAATATAGTTTATATACAGTATTATATTGGTTTTGGATGGACTTAATGATTCATCAATTATATACTAGCAATCAAATGCTCATAATAAATGTAGTTATGTCACCATCTAAAGACACAGTATTAATGAGCTATATTCTCTATGCTATACTTCCATTCCTGTGACTGAATTATTTTATGATTTTAAGTTTATATCTCTTTATCCTTTTCACCTCTTTCACCATACCCCCATGGTAACCAACTGTCCATTCTGTGTTTCAGTCTATTTGTTTTGTTTTCCAGATTCCACAAGAAAGTCCACATATAAGTAAACCATTGGAATTTATCTTTCTCTGATTTATTTCACTTAGCATAATACCCTCTAGGTCCTCTACACTGTCACAAAAGTCCAGAATTTTAATTTTTAACCAACACAATTTTGACTTCTGTTATCCATTATGCTTAGATCACTTGCTAACTGAGTTATCTTGGAAAATCAAAATTCCTTTGAGCCTATTTCTTCATTTGTGAAATATTTTAAGTAACATCTTAAAACTTAAAAGTAGCATGTAAGTCCAGTGCTTGGTGACAGTTGGTGTATTACTGATCATTTCTCCTTCATACCATCTAAACAAGTCACTCTTCCCCCACAAGCTGGTAGAATTCCTTAGGCACCTTTCTGCTTCTATACTCCCATTACTTTCAGGTATCTGGGGCAAGGGCACAGAAAAAAAGAATCCAGACTTAAAATGATGTTAAATGAGAGAGGACACATTGAGGTGGACTCTGGATCAATGTATCTGAAAGAAAAAGGTGAGGAAATGCAAGGCAGGGAAAAATTCTGAAAGTCTTCAATGACCATGAGTTAAAAGCAAAATGAACAATGAGAATCAGTTATCCAACAATGAAATGAAATCCCTTATTATAAACCAATCTTGGATATATTCAAGTGGCAATAATGATCGAATGTTGTAAAGGATTACTTCATTTGACATCAAGTGAGAGGATGGACTAATAAACCTAGCCTTTCTACACTTAATTCTAAAAGGACTAATAATGCCATATGTAGGAGAAAGCTGACAGAAAATGCCAGAGCTGCAAAAGACACATTTACAGTTCCACTCTGAATTCTTAATATTCAAAAACATAAAGGAAACAAAAATGTGATACCATTTACAATTACTCCAAAGAAAATGACACACTTAGGTATACATCTAATAAAATGTAATACACCTCACACCAGTTAGGATGGCCAACAGCCAAAAGACAAACAAAAACAAATGTTGGTGAGAATGTGGAGAAAGGGGAACCCTCCTACACTGCTAGTGGCAATGTAAACTAGCTCAACCATTGTGGAAAGCAGTATGGAGGTTCCTAAAACAACTCGTATGTAAACTAGTTCAATCACTGTGGAAAGCAGTGTGGAGGTTCCTCAAAACTCAAAATATAAATACCATTTGACCCAGGAATTCCACTTCTGGAATTTACCCTAAGAATGCAGCAGCCCAGTTTGAAAAAGACATATGCACTCCTATGTTTACCGCAGCACTATTTACAATAGCCAAGAAGAAATGGAAGCAACCTAAGTGTCCATCGGTAGATGAATGGATAAAGAAGATGTGGTACATATATACAATGGAATATTATTCAGCCATAAGAAGAAAACAAATCCTACAATTCGCAACAACATGGATGGAGCTAGAGGGTATTATGCTCCAGTGAAATAAGCCAGGTGGAGAAAGACAAGTAGCAAATGATTTCACTCATATGTGGAGTATGACAACAAAAACTGAAAGAACAGAACAGCAGCAGACTCACAGAACCCAAGAATGGACAAACAGTTACCAAAGAGAAGGGGACTGGGGAGGATGGGTGGGAAGGGAGGGATAAGGGGAAAAACGGGGCATTATGATTAGCTCACATAATATAGGGGTTTGGGGACATGGGGAAGGCAGTATATACAAGTAATGATTCTATAGCATCTTACTATGCTGATGGACAGTGACTGTAATGGGGTATGTGGTGGGGGGGACTTGATAATAGGGGGAGTCTAGTAACCATAATGTTCAAGTAATTGTACATTAATATCAAAAAATAAAAATGCAATACAATCTGTATACTGAAAATTGTCAAGTATTGGTGAAAGAAAAGACCTAAACAAATGGAGAAACATACCATGTTCATGGATTAAAAGGCTCAACACAGTAAATAGATGAATTTTTCCAAAATTAATCTCTAAGTTTAACATAACTCCTATCAAAATCCACAGTTTTTGGGAGCCAGACAAGCTTATTTAAAAATTTATATGGAAAAGCAAAGGACTAAGAATAGCTAAGACAATTTTGAAAAAGAATATATAAAATAATCTACCTATGTTAAGGTTTACTATATAGCTACAAAGTGAAGAGAGACACATAGATCAATGGTACAAAGATTCTAGAAATACACCAAAACAAGTCCAATTGATTTTGACAAGGTGCAAAGGCAATTTAACAGGAGAAAGACAACCTTTCAAACAAATAGTAACTGGAGCAATTGGGACAGAGAGGTATAAACATGCATGTAAAATAACTTAGACAAAAGATTTTCACACTTGACACCAAATACATGACCCATAAAAAAAAAAACTCATGACCTCATCAAAAGTAAAAACTTTTGCTCCATGAAAGATGCAGTTATGGGGATGAAAATGAAAGCTACAGATGAGATGGGGAGAAAATATATGCAAACCACATATCTGAAAAAGGACTACACTAGACTGTATAAAGAACTCTCAAAGCTCAATATTAAAAAAGTCATTATAAAACGAACAAATGACATGAACAGACATTTTATTGAAGAAGATACGTGAATGGGAAATAAACACATGAAAAGATAATCAACATCATTAGCCATTAGGTAAAGTTAAAACCATAATGACATATCACTACACGTCTACCAGAATGACTAAAATAAAGCTATACCACCAAATGCTGACAAGGATGCAAGAGTAACTGGATCACTCATATGTTGCTGGTGGGATATAAGATGGTAGCGTCACTGGAAAGTATTTTAGCAACTTCTTATAAAACTAAGTTAGCACTTACCAAGCAGCTCAGCATTTATACTCCTGGATACTTATTCCTGAGAAACGAAAACATGTTTTTTTAAAAAACCTGTATGTCAATTATACATAGCAGTTTCATTTGTAACTGCCCCAAATTGAATATATCCCAAACGTCTTTCAAAGAGTGAACAGTTAAACTTTGCTATATCTATATCATGGAATACTATGTAGCAATAAAAAGGAATAGACTATTGTTATATGCAACAATTTGGAAGGACCTCAAGGGTCTTACAGTTGGTGGGAAAAAATTTTTTTCAGGTTACACTGTAGGATTCCTTTTCTGTAACATTCTTAAAATAGCAAAATTAAAGAGATGAAAAACAGATTAGTGGTTGCCAGACTGTTAGGAATGGAGGGAAGAAAGGAACCTTGACTATTAAGGCAACCTCATAGTACAATTCTGTCTTGATTGTGCTGACTACACAAATCTACATACAATAAAATTATACAGAGCTATATACACACAGAAATGAGTACTTGTAAAATTGGTGAAATCTGAATAAACTGGACTGTACCAAGGTCAGTTGTCTGCATTTGATATTGTACTATAATTCAGTTACTACTGGGGGAAACTGTGAAGAGTACACAGCAACTCCCTGTGCATTTTTTTGTTTTTTGCAATATCATGAATCTAAAATTATTTCAAAATGACAATTTTACACAAAAATGGAGTGAATTTTATCCCTGAAATAGACATTGTCTGAATGAGCCAAAAATGAGTAAAATAATGTACTATAACTCACCAAACAAAACCAAAATATTCTCAGTGAAAAACTGTCATTTTATGTACTGCTTTAGTTCTTAATAATTTAGTTATTAGTAGAAAGGTAAAACACTGTAATCTGCAGGGAGTTTTAAGGAATTGAGCCTGATTATTTTTATATGAAATATGAAAGAATAACCTAGTCAACCTTTTCCTTTTGGAAGCAATTCCATATTCTAAAATATTGTCTAGCATTATTACTGTAATGAAGTGATTATTAGAACATTGTCATAGGAAGGCCACACCTACTTGTCAAATGTTGCAGAATAATTATTCTGTGACTCTCAACAGAGAAGCTATCCTTGACTTTTTCAAATCCTGGCTGTTCAGTAGACAATCATGGCATACAGGTTTGATGAAAATCTTGAGAAATGGAATAATTCTTTCATCCATTAAAGACCCTAACAGTCCTTTTGCTGTAAAGGATCTTATAATTAAGGAATATACATTACATGCAACTGGGAAACAACTTAAGTGTTATACAAAATTCTGTAAATTCTTAAATGCCAAAGGAACATAAATTTAAAAACAAATGTACTGTCAATTACTACTTCCTTATCCTTTGGACAAACAGCAAAGAAGAAAAGAATGAACAAAGATCACTTTGTTTAGATGGGAACAGGGAAAGGCTAGAAAACATTGTGTAGGCAACCCACACATTGTCAAAGCAGAGTATTTCTTTTGGGCACCCAAGGAAAGAGCAAGATACAGTTCTTTTGTAGTCCCATTGCATCTAACTAAAAATATCCCTCACGATATTCCCAAGCAAAGTTTACTATTTTAGAATAAGAAAAATTTGAGCATTACTATGTCCAATGTTTTGAAGATGACAAAAGCAAAGAATCTGCCCTTAAAGGGTTTACAGTACAACCAGGGAGAGACTAGTATTCAGGAATTATCAACTACTTTTTTGAATACTACCTTTTTAAATTCATTGCTCTAGGAAGTTTGGACAGATCCCTCAAACTTAGCTTGTGTCCCTACTATGTGCACCCTTTTACACTTCCCTTTCAAAGCACTGATCACACCATATCATAATTAACATATAATAAACCCTCTACTAAACTCTAGAAGGCAGAGAACATTTCTATTCATTTCACTGAACCCAGCACAATGCCTAGAACACAGTATTTGTTGATGCAAATATGAGGTACACTGTTTATTAAGTGAAAAGTGAAGTTTCAGAACAACATAAATGACCCTTTTTCAGTAAAAACAAACAGAAATAGAAAAATCTAGGTGAGGCTTATATATCATTATCTCTAGACTGCAGAACTGGGAGGATTTTCAGAATCATAGCTTTGTTGACGTATGAATTTTTCACTAAGAAATATTTTTAGTAACAAAATAGTAAAGCTTTTCATCTGGGATGGCAGGGGGTGGGAGGAAATGGAGTTGATAAAAGATTTCCTCCAATTTTTCTCATCTACTACTTCCAAAGAATGGCTGTTACATTTGAACAAATAGCACAAAATGGTTTTAAAAATTTTCAGGAATAAAGCATACAAAAAAAAAAATTCCTGTTAGAATAGCCACTATCAGACAAAAAATAACAAATGGGAGGATGCAGAAAATGGGAGCCCTCCTACATCACTGGTGGGAATGTAAATTGGTGCAACCGCTGTGGAAAGTAGTATGGAGGTTCCTCAAAAAACTAAAACTAAAAATACCATTTGATCAATTAATTCCACTTCTAGGAATTTACCAGAAGAAAACAAAATCCCTGATTCGAAAAGGTATATGCACCCCTATTTAGGCAAGATAGGGAAGCAACCTAAATGTCCAGCAATAGATGGATGGATAATGAAGAAGTGGTATATATACACAATGGAGTTATTCAGCCATAAAAAGAAAAGAAATCCTGCCTTTTGCAACAAGGATGGATCTACAGGGTATTATGCTCAGTGAAATAAGCCAGGCAGAGAAAGACAAATACCATTCGCTTTCAGTTATTTGTGGAATATGAAAATAAAGCAAAACAAAAGGAACAAAACAGTAGTAGACTCCTAGACAGTGAGAAGTGCCTATTGGTTACCAAGGGGAAGGGGTTGGGGTGGGTGGGTGGGGGAGCGTAAGGGGGATAAAGGGGCACAATAATTCACGATCACAATAAAAGTTGGTCACCAGAACAGTAGCACAGCATGGAGAATATAGTCAATGATTCTGTAACATCTGTGTTGATAGATAGTAACCACACTAGAGAGGGGCGAGGATTTAATAATATGGGTAACTTGACTGTGTATACATTTGAAACCAATGACTGTATATATCAATGATACTCCTATAAGAAAAAAGAATCCTGTAATAACACTGAATTGGATTGAATTATGTCCCACAGAAAGATTATGTCCAAGTCCTAACTCCAAGTACCTATAAATGTGAACTTATTTAGAAATGTAGAGTCTGTGGATGTGATTAAGTTAAGGATCCTGAGATTAGAGCAACCTGGATTTAGGCCTTTAATCCAATGACGGGAGCCCTTGTAAGAGAAAGGAGATTTGACACAGAGGGTAAGGCCATGCAAACTGGAGGTAGAAAATTAGTTGACGTGTTGACTGCCAAGGAACACTAAGGATTGCTGGCTGCTACCAGAAGCTAAAAAGCATGGATGGACTCTCCGTCAGAGCCTCTGGAAGGAACCAACCTTGACAGTACCTTGATTTCAGAGTTTGTGCCTCTACAACTGTGAGGGGTAAACTGCTGTTGTTTTATGCCACAAAGTTTGTGGTAATTTGTTTTGACACCTATGAAACTAATACAAATACCTCAATAGTACAGCTTTTTAAACACCCAGAAAAATGTCAGTGCTCCTCTTGTAATTCCTAAGAACACTCAACAAAAGTAACTAAACAAGGAATAAGATTTTGACAGGCAGAGTTGAGCTTTGGAGGGCCACAAACAATTTTCTAATATTTCCCCACTGTGATCCAATTTGTGATTCAAAAGATTGAATACCTTTTGGTAAATACAAGGAAGAGAAATCAGACTGATTTTGAACAAGATATATTTTTGTTTTATCCAACAAGTACATTTTACCATCTATGAAGGTTTTATTCATTTGTTTGCTTGTTAAATCCAATGGGAAATTTTTTTGAGTGATACATCAATTCCCTGAAGATGTGGCAAAACAGAGGAGTTACTATACTAAGCATCCAGTTTCAACACTCATCATCTCCCAACAAAGACAAAAGGCAAGGGGAGCAAGCAAAGAGGGAGTCTCTTGGGTACAAGTGAGGAGTAGGGAGAAAAAAGTGAACTGGTTAATTTATAGTCTTACTGAAATTTTAAATATAGAGACAGTGTAACAGTTTGACCTAGCATTTCTGCACTGCAACTTAAAAGTTACAAATATTGTACTTGTTCCCATCTACTTGCTATTCACAGAGTCAATCAGTTTGCTTTCACAGCTTCCCCCATTTCCAAATTTGTATCAGTCAGTTATCTGGTTTCTTAACTGCTACTAATTTAAAAAGAATCATGATCAGATAAAATTCGCACTTTACATTTAACTGTCAGGTATTTTATTCCTGATGAAAAAACATGTCAGATCAACTGCCACAGAAGAAACGAAAGGAGGCTTACAGGAGTATGTAGTCACAGAGGTACTCAAATATAACTAAAGGGTAAAACTTCCCCACACAAGGGCATTTTTTACTATTTCCCAAAGTTGCACAGACATCTTCCTTTGCCATCACATTCTCATTAAACACCTCTAGAACTACATTATACAATAGTCTGCTATAACCATTCAAGTCAAATCATGTTCCAACCAAAACTCAACAGTACCTAGTAGAAACTCAATCAAGTAGCCCAAAGCACAGTTAGTTCTACCCCCAGCACTGATGAAAATCTTCAGAATATATATATAATATATATTATTCACTTCTGTTAAACATTTAGTAACAAAATATACCTAGCAAAGTCTGACTTAATTGCCCCTATATTAGTATTTAAAGAAAAACTCTAATAGCTCATATTCTGATCTAGTTTGATTGCCGAAGGGCCTAAGAATCCATATTTATCATTTATTATCAGGTATTTATAAAAAATTTTTATTTTGAATTAAAGTGAGTAAAGTATATTATCTACACATCTTTCCTCTCTGTAGCCTAGAGCAAAGCTTTTCAGTGAAAAAAAAAAAGATCATTTTATGTGAACCCTGACACCTTCTATATAGGTAAGAAGAAGAGAAAACAGTTGAAAAGTCTGAATATTTTGGAAGTTTGGGGACAGGGTAAATAGAGATATACTATCTTTTAAGTATAAAGTGTACAAGCTGGCTAAACATAGTTTTTTAAAGGATCATGTAAGAGGAACATGCAATAATTATATTATTGGGAGACGAGAAAAATGAAAGCCAAGTTTTATAAAAATTCAAGTGAACATATTTACAATGGAATTGGAAAATCCTTAGCTCCCTGTCTAAATAAAAGCAGTCATCTACTGCACCAGTGTGTATTTTCAAGCAAATACAGAAGCAAAACCCATTAGCTCTTTAAAAAATACACACATTTAATGTTGGTCTGTTTTAATTCTAAGTAAAGCAATTCCAAAAATACAAACTGAACATCAGAGCCATGTGAACCACCATGATAAAATAAAACAGACATTCACAATAATTACGTCTAAAAGACACTTCAGCTTAATAAACCATCTTCCAAGTATACTAAAGAAAGAGATACTAAAAATACTGCTGGTGTTCAGTTAGAATTAAAGGACTTTGGGGAAAATGAAATAATATGATACAAGTGGAGTGAATAAGGTTACACGGGATTTACAATTTCCATTACCCCTAGATATAAACAAACATTCAAAATCAACACAAACTCTGTGTGTTATTCAAAATATTGCAGCTGCAGAAAAGGCAACTTTAAATTAATAGCTAGGGGAAAATCAAGTTTTGGTGGAGGTAAACAGAAGTGACAGTTTTTAATTTGCACTTTTGTAAAGCTCATTTATACCTGGCCAACCCAGGAACCAAATGCAGGACTACAAAGTTCTCTGCTTCTTTTGGCTATAATGTGACAAGAAAAGGTCATCTTTTGAAGATGTTTAAAGAAATAAAGCAACTTTCTTTATAAACAGTCAAATAATCAATCAATGGAATAAATAAGTACTAACCCACATTTTTACGGCTCTGCAATCACTACACTTTACATATTTTTCATTTTGGTGGCAAATTCCCCAATTTTTAGGCTAAAATCCACCAATCACTTTTAAGAGTAAAATGAACAGCCACCAAAATAAGAATATTCTTCTGTTTACTCTTTGGCTAAAAAAGAAAACAAACAAAACAAAACAAAAAGAAACAGAAGACAACTCTAACACTGGTGATAAAAGAAAGTTTTTTTTTACATGTAAAATAAAGTTATCAATTTAAATCTTGGTACATTTTATAAAAACAAGAGGTAATGTTGTAATAAAACAGCAGTAGCCTTGGCAGGCAATATACTGTTTGTTAACCCTGTGCAATAAAATACTTTGTTCATACTACACTTATTCAACATGACTAACAGTTACTACAGACATTTCAGGAGTCTTCATTGGACTCCTATAGACTTACTGTTAAAATTAAGAGACATTTACAATCATAATGTGCCATGAAAACTTGAAAACGTTACTTCTAGTAGGAGATAATGTTTCTATTACTTGAATTTGTTTTAGGTACTGAACAGCTGAGTTACAAGGACTGAAAGTGAAAAGCATTCTAAAAGCCCATGAACACTGTTGTTCACACCCTTCTTCAGAACACGCTAAACTTGTTTGACACATTTCTCTTCATACATAGCAAGCAACAGCACCCAATAAAAGCCTGAGAAGAAATGCTGCTGTGTAAATACTGCAACTATTCCTGAAAAAGAATTATGGGATATATACTCCAAAGCTGCCCATTCCCATAATCTGTATTGCATAGGTCACATAATCACACACATATATATACACTCATGTGTATATATATGTACATGCAAAGAATATATTAAGACGACAATGAAGTCTAGTCACAGAGCAATTTACAGGCTCAATATATTTTTTACACTTTGCTTGAAAGAAAATTTCAATATTTTACAGTCTTTTAGTAGGCATTATATACACTGCACTTTATGAAATCTGAAAGGTATTGAAATAAATTTTTCCAACATTTGGTAACAAAACAGACAGTGTTTTCCAAATACTTGTGCTATCTATCTACATAATTTGTTTGCTCTGATAACCACTAATCACAAAAACTGACTCAATCGAGTAATTAGAAAAAGTATCTAACACCATGCATGGGTTTGAATCATTTTTAATATCCTATCCTAGAAACATTCTACAAATCTTAAGATTTAAAAAATTAAGTCTCTGTTCTGATTTTTAAAAGATATCTTTTTATGACAATATCCATAACATTGACAGGTACATGTTAAGGCTAGAATCATCTCCTTTTGTGAATTTTTTTGACTTTTTTTTTTTTTAAGAAAGATAGTAAAAGTCAGACTCCTTTACATTTCTTTGAACTGTACCTACAGAAAATGAGTGCAGTGAACATAATGTTCAGTCCTACAGTCAGGATGCAGTTGCTCCTTCCCATTCCACAAGGTACTGCACCTTTCCATCAAGTGTCACCCGACGAGCCAAAACTCGGTATTTTTCACCACATGCTATTCTACCTGCAGCACCAAAATAACTGGTAATGGAGTTTTTTAGATGATTGAGTTGTAACTCCTGATCTGCTAAGTTATTCAAAATCTCTGTGTTGAGTTCATCAAACTGGTAATCTTCTTTGCCTTCATCATCTTTTACAATTTCTGAGTTCTGAGCCTGGAGTGCTCTTCTTGGAAGACGACCCCTTCTCCTCCGTAAATGTGGTATTGCAGCAGGCCAAGATCTTCCTGTACGAGTTCTTTTTCTGGAGTCAGATAATCTATGGAACAAAAAAGGCCACAATTGTCTCCTGAACTTATAAAAGCATCCTTCACTCTGCTCACATACTATGTTCTCGTATTTTTTTCTGTCACTGTACTTTAAGTACATATACCCTTGCTGACATAAAAAAATCAGCCAAACCAAAATAATAAATGCTGTATAAATGAATTATCACTCATCTTTCTAGACTCCAAAACCTTCTTGGGACTGACTTTTGAAGAGCTTTTCTTCCTTACTATGTACTATTAAACTTAAAAGAATCGGAGGAAATTTTTCAATTATAAGGTGACCAAGCAAATTCTTACCAAGAAGCCCTATTATAAGTCAGGTTTTGTCAATAGTCTTATTATTAAAAAGAAAGTTCATTCATTCACTCATTTAATGCAGCAAATATTTAATGAGTACCTACTACATATAAGACCCTGTTCCATAAGCTTAAACAGATGGCAGTACTAGAATAAACTTTCTCTTAGTTTCTTTTATTACCAGTTCTAGGCCTACTGAAGTAATGCAATGCACTGGAATAAGCATAAACTAGAAGTCAGGGAGCCATAAGTATAGCTATAAGTGATATTGGCCAAATTCAAATCTCTTATCCTCTGTGTTCTCTTAAATTAACAGATTAAGTGAAGGTGTTGAACTAGATAATCTCTGAAGTCCATCCCAGCTTAGAAGTTCAATGATACTACAATCTTATAAGGGGAGAATACAGGTAACAGCTAAATTGAAAGACTTTATAATCAAAATGCCCAAGTTAACATCACAGCTCTGTCATACTTGTAAAACATGCTATCTTGAGCTTGTTATTTAAAACGACCAAAGTTTCAGTTTCCTTATCTACAAAATGGGAATAAAAGGACCTACAACTCAAAAGTTGGTTTTAAGAAATAAGTATGAGAATGTATGTAAAAAGCTTAGCAAAATGCCTGGGAAAAGGCAAAAAAAAGCAGCTCACATTGTTACTATCCATTATTCATTAAAAAATTAATTACTAAAAATTAACTTTAGCCTTTAAACACTTAAAATATGATTTACAAGAACAGTGTTTGAATTATGAACAAAATCTAACAAAAGGAAGCATAAAACCTGTAAGCTCCAAGCTATGATCCCAAGTAAACTAAACTTTTTATACCTGAGATATCTTAGGAAAAGTCCTTCTGAAGAGTTAGATTAAACAAAATATTAGAAGGGAAGTATTCTATTGATAAATCCTGAGTTCAAGATCCTTTTAATAACAAAGGGAGATTAGTACTTGATTTGGAATTTAAAAAAAACAAACAAACCAAAAACCAAGTCTTCCTAAACCAAGGAACACTTTTATATTAGAAGCATAAAAAGATCTCTCAGAAAAAAGCATGGCCTATGAACACAAGTACCTCTTTTCAGTGCACAGAGCAAATTTCCTAACAAATACGTTTTAATGTTTGTGCCCTGAAAAGCAAAAATATTCACATGAATTTGAATAATCTAAGGAATCTACATATGAGTTGCTTTTTAAAAGCTGAAAGACATTAGCTCAACCAGTGTGGAAAGCAATAGGAGGTTCCTCAAAAAACTAAAAATAGAAACACCATTTGACCCAGGAATTCCACTCCTAGGAATTTACCCAAAGAAAACAAGATCCCTGATTCAAAAAGACATATGCACCCCTATATATATTGTAGCACTATTTATAACAGCCAACATATGGAAGCAACCTAAGTGTCCATCAGCAGATGAATGGATAAACAAGAGGTGGTACATATACACAATGGAATATCATTCAGCCATAAGAAAAAAACAAATCCTACCATTTGCAACAACATGGATGAAGCTAGAGGGTATTATGCTCAGTGAAATAAGTCAGGCAGCAAAGACAAGTACCAAATTATTTCCCTCATTTGTGGAGTATAACAACAAAGTAAATCTGAAGGAACAAAACAGCAGCAGACTCACAGACTCCAAAGGGAAGGGGTTGGGGAGGGTGGGTGAAGGGGATTAAGGGGCACTATAATTAGCAATCACAATAAAAATAGGTCATGGGGAAGGCAGTACAGCATCTAGAGCACAAGTAAAAAAGACTATATAGCATCTTACTTCACTGATAGACAATGAGTGCCAACTGGGGGGAGGGTGGTGTGGACTTGATAATAAGGATGAATGTTGAAACCACAAGGTTGATCATGTGAAACCTTCATAAGATTATTTATCAATGATACGTTAATTTAAAAAGGGGATAGTAATTGTACTAGAGGGGGGTGACGATTTGATAATGTTGGTAACTGCTGAACCGCTGTGTTGTATATCTGAAACCAACATAAGATTGTGTATCAATGATACCTTAATATAAATAAATATAGCTGAAAGATATACATGTGCCACTTTCAGTTGTTAAAATTTATTTAATCATCACTTTACAAAGAAAAAGAATATACAGCAAAATTAGTAAAGAATAAGAACATAAAATATCTACCCATAATGCCTGGGAATGGTAGACGAGGTAGTTTCTTTTGCACTGGAAGCACCCGTGAAATCCACATCTGAGGTATTAGATGAATGTGCAGTTCCCTCAGTTCTCCTGAGACAAAAGAATTTAAATGGTATAACGACTATATTACATAACAATAGAAATACTAATCTGCCCCCAAAAGAAAATTCCTAGGATAGGAAAAAATATTTACCCTATAGAACAAGGTAAATCCAAGGTAGTATTCTCTGAAATTGATTCTTTATCCTGGGGAAAGAAGAAAAAAACAAACTTAAAGCATGGTTCTAAAGTAAACTAAAAAGACAAAGTTTCTCAGTGATTTCAACCAACCTTCCTCCTGAAAACATACATCAACATATCCTCTTACCAAAGGTGGCTCAGCAGTTTTCTGAATCATTTTTCTTGTATATGGGCCTGGTGGACGACCTACAGATTTCTTTTTTCCTTTTTTTTCTATGCCATTGCTTACTTCCCTGAAACATAAAAACATTATGTATTTAACTTTGGTATAAAGAAAACACAGACACAATGTACAATATATACTGTCATAGCACTGCTTATGTAATAATTAGGTCATACTTATATGTTTTATTACTGGTAACATAAAAATGAATTTGAATATAAGTTAAATCTACAAGTTTAGTCAAGTGCATAATGATACATTTTAATTTAAATAACTATTTCTTGACTTAAGACATTTACATTAGAAATGTTTAAGAAAAAAAAGTTCTCTTACAATTTTGAAAAATATATATTACCTAAAAATTAAAACAAACAAACAAATGCAGACCACTATACTGGATGGAAGATTTCAAACTCATAGAAGTTCTATTACTTAGTTTACATTGTTACTACATGGATACTTGAGATATAGCTCAAGAATTTACTACTAAAAGTTACTATGAATTTACTTTATTTACCTCATGGAGCCAGGAAGTATCATTGTTAAAATACACTAGCTGCAGAGGTTGCTTTTTACACGCATACACACACACACACACACACAATCTTGAATGATGCTAATCATAAAGAGAATGAAGCCCAGGGTGACAGAGCATAGAGAAGAAAGGAATCCTTCCTAGTGAGCAGTGAGTCACTCAAAGGGCAAAATTAGAAATCTAGAAAACCATTCAAAGACATAAAGGCAAATCTTATGTAACAGGAAGGAAAAAAAAAAAACAATGGTCAAGGACATTTCTAATTAATACAGGGAAAGAAGAAAAGGAAAAATATCAATATGCAGAACATTTATTTCATTTACTCAACAAACATTACCATATAAAGGGCCTATTAGACAACAGGAATACAAAGATGTTCCCTGTGCTAAGGGTTTCACAAAAATCCAACATCTCAAGAATAAGACAGATGGACAGGGAATACTTTTATTTTTTTTAAGATGATCAATGTAACATTTATAAGGGACTCCTGGACTACAGAAACTACTCTCAGATTAATAGGCTCAATTAATAAATAGGGCCCAAAAGGAACTGAGAATGGCTTTGCAGAGGTTGAACCATTACATAATGTCATCAAATGAAAACCTTGACAGCTACCACATATGGACTGTGCTATCAAAATCCTAATAGGAATAAGAAAGTTTGTGAAACTTTTTTTTTATAATTTGTAATATGGGCAATTGCTAACAAAGGATTATAGATAAATCTGAAAGTGATACAAATAAGTATTCTTGGATTAAAGATGGCAGCATAAAAGGTGTGACAAAGAACTCCTCCCAAAACCACATATAATACAAAAATATAGTTAATACAACAAATCCTAAAAGAGCAATAGGAAAGAAGACTGTGCCGGCTGCATACACCTGAAGAACAGAGCAGACCTCACAAAACAGGATAACATACCAAACAAAGCATTGACTCAGTGGGACCCAAGCCCTTCCCCCACCCCAGCACACAAGCAGGAGGAAGAGAAACAGAGCGCAGAGGGGGTAGAAGCCTAGGACTGCTGAACACCAGTCTTGGAGAACTGCTTTGGGAGTACAACCCCATATCATATTGCATGGTGCTCTGGAGATCAGTGGGGTCAAAAAGCTAAGACAGGCGAAGACTTGGACAGACTGAGATTCCAGCCATTTGTGGAGGACATGGATCCACATCCAGCTGCTCTGGGACAAAGGAAAGGTAGGAGATCTGAGTGTCTTTGCAGTAATGAGAGGGCTGCTGAAGGGGCAGGGATTGCACAGAACTTGATGCTCAGGAGAAGGAATAGGAGGACAAGGTTGTCTGGGCGAGCTCATCCCAGCAGGTTGGGAACTTTCAGGAGCTTCAGGTACTCCATACACCTGGCTAGGTACTCCGCTTCGAGGCCCCCCACTGTGATACCCAGTCTGCTACATCTTCCTACTGGCCTGCCGGCACCAGTTTGCAAACCAGCAGTACCTGCCCTGGCATCAGGATAGCCACAGGGAGACCTCACCTAAGGCAGCTGCAAACACAAAGCACAGAGGCTTACAACTGTGTAATCAGCCACTGGTTCTGAGAGCGGAGAAAGGCACTGCAGCCAGCAAAAAGGCAACAGCTCCCTCCTCACCAGAGGAACTGGCGCCGCTCCCCTGCACCCCCAAAAACCAACCAGGGGCTGAACAGCTCCAAAGAATAGAGTTTCTGGGTACTAGAGGACACCATGTGCCACTGTGAAACATCAACTGAACCTGGTTCAAACCAAATCTCACAAACACCAAAAATGGACCAAGTGAAACTGAACTCACCAACTTACCAAAAAGAGAGTTCAAATTAGAAATCATAAACATGCTCATGGAGGTACAAAAAAACTACTGAAGGACTCAGGGACAAATTCAGAATGGAGACTCAACCATTAAGAAATTCTATATGTGAAATGAAACATACAATGAAGGGATTTAAAAGAAGATTAGATGTAGTAGAAGAGACAGTAAATGGAATAGAAATTAGAGAAGAGGAAGACAAGCTGAGGGACAGACAGAAAAAAAGATCTCAAGGAATGAAAGAATACTGAGAAAATGCTGTGACCAATCCAAACGGAACAATATTTTCATTATAGGGGTACCAGAAGGAGAGAAAAATGGATAGAAAGTGTCTTTGAAAGGTAATTGCTGAGAACTTCCCTAATGTGGGGATGGAGATAGACTCTCAGGCCATGGAGGTGCACAGACCTCCCAACACAACGGACCAAAGGAAGACAACACCAAGACATATAATAATTAAAATAGCAAAGATCAAGGATAAGGACAGAGTTTTAAAAGCAGTCAGAGAGAGAAAAAAGATCACATACAAAGAAAAGCCCATCAGGCTATCATCAGACTTCTCAGCAGAAACCTTACAGGCAAGAAGGAAGTGGCATGATATATTTAATGCAATGAAGCAGAAAGGCCTCAAACCAAGAATACCTTATCTGGCAAAATTGTCATCTAAATTTGAAGGAGGGATTAAACAATTTTCAGATGAGCAAAACCTGATAGAATTTACCTCCCACAAACCACCTCTACAGTACATTTTAGAGGGACTGCTATGGATGGAAGTGTTCCTAAGGCTAAATAGCTGTCACTAGAGGAAATAAAACCACAGTAAACAAAGTAGAACAATTAATAACTAAGCAGATGCAAAATTAAATCAACTATCCCCAATGTCAATCAAGGAATAGACAAAGAGAACAGAATATGATACCTAATATATAAAGAATAGAGGAGGAAGAAAAAGGAGAAAAAAAAAGAACCTTTAGATTGTGTTTGCAATAGCATACTAAGTGAGTTAAGTCACACTCTTAGTAAGGAAGTTAACCTTGAACCTTTGGCAACCACAAATCTAAAGTCTAAAATGGCAATAAGTACACACCTATTGATAATCACCCTAAATGTAAATGGTCTCAATGCACCAATTAAAAGACACAGAGTTACTGAATGAATAAAAAAACAAGACCCATCTATATGCTGCCTACAAGAGACTCACTTCAAACCCAAAGACATACACAGACTAAAACTAAAGGGACAGAAAAAGATTTTTCATGCAACTAATAAGGAGAAAAAAGCAGGAGTTGCAGTACTTGTTTCAGACAAAATAGACTTCAAAACAAAGAAAGTCACAAGAGACAAAGACATTCGATAATGATAAAGGGGTCTATCCAACAAGAAGACATAACCATTATAAATATCTATGCACCCAACACATGATCACTCACATATGTGAAACAAATACTAACAGAATTAAAAGGTGAAATACAATGCAATGCATTCATTGTAGGAGACGTCAACACTCCACTCACTCCAAAGGACAGATTAATCAAACAAAAAATAGGTAAGGAGACAGACACACTGAACAGCACATTAGAACAGATGGACCGAAGAGACATCTACAGAACTCTACATCCAAAAGCAGCAGAATACACATTCTTCTCAAGTGCACATGGAACATTTTCAAGAATAGATCATATACAAGGCCACAAAAAGAGCCTTGGTAAATTCAAAAAGACTGAAATTGTACCAACCAGTTTCTCAGACCACAAAGGTATGAAACTAGAAATAATTTACTCAAAGAAAATGAAAAATGCCACAAACATGGAGGCTTCACAACATGCTCCTAAATAACCAATGGATCAATGACCAAATAAAAACAGAGATCAAGCAATATATGGAGACAAATGACAACAATAATTCAACACCACAAAATCTGTGGGACGCAGCGAAGGCTGTGTTAAGATGGAAGTATATTTCAATACAGGCATACCTTAGGAAAAAAGAACAATCCCAAATGAACAGTATAAACTCACAAACAATGGATCAATGACCAAATAAAAACAGAGATCAAGCAATATATGGAGACAAATGACAACAATAATTCAACACCACAAAATCTGTGGGACGCAGCGAAGGCTGTGTTAAGATGGAAGTATATTTCAATACAGGCATACCTTAGGAAAAAAGAACAATCCCAAATGAACAGTATAAACTCACAATTAACGAAACCAGAAAAAGAAGAAGAAATGAGGCCCAAAGTCAGTAGAAGGAGGGAAATAATAAAGATTAGAGCTGAAATAAATAAAATCGAGAAGAATAAAACAATAGAAAGAATCAATGAAAGCAAGAGCTGGTTCTTTGAGAAAATAAACAAAATTATAGATAAACCCCTAGCGACACTTATGAAAAAAAAAACGTCTACACAAATAAACAGAATCAGAAATAAGAAAGGAAAAATTACTATGGACACCAAAGAAATACAAAGAATTATGAGAGAATACTATGAAAAATATAGTTAACAAACTGGATAACCTAGAAGAAATGGACAACTTTCTAGAAAAATAAAACCTTCCAAGGCTGTCACAGAAAGAAACAGAAAATCTGAACAGAACAATTACCAGCAATGAGATTGAACTGGTCATCAAAAAACTACGTAAGAACAAAACTCCTGCACCAGATGGCTTCACTGCTGCATTTTATGAAACATTTAGTGAGGACCCAATACCCATCCTCCTTAAAGTTTTCCTAAAAGTACAAGAAGAGGGAATGTTTCCAAACTCATCCGATGAGGCCAGCACCACTCTAATGCTAAAACCAGGCAAAGATGCTACAAAAAAAGAAAATTACAGACCAATACCCCTGATGAACATACGTTCGAAAATACTCAAAAAAGTATTTGCAAACCAAATTCAAAAACAAATAAAAAAGATCATCCATCATGATCAAGTTGGATTTATTCCAGGGATGCAAGGATGGTATATTTGAAAATCCATCAAAACCATCCTCATCAACAAAAAGAAAGACAAAAACCACATAATCATTTCGATAGATACAGAAAAAGTATTTGACAAAATTCAGCATCTATTCATGATAAAAATTCTCAACAAAATGGGTATAGAGGGCAAGAACCACAACATAATAAAGGCCATATATGACAAACCCACAGCCAACATCATACTTAAAAGCGAGAAGCTGAAAGCTTTTCCTTTAAGATTGGGAACAAGACAATGATGTCCACTCTCCCCACTTTTATTCAACATACTACTGGAGGTCCTAGCCACAGCAATCAGACAACACAAAGAAATAAAAGGCATCCACATTGGCAAGGAAGAAGTTAGGCTGTCCCTGTTTGCAGATGACATGATATTGTACATAAAAACCCTAAAGAACCCACTACAAAAATTACTAGATCTAATATCTGTATTCAGCAAAGTTGCAGCATATAAAATTAATACACAGAAATATGTTGCATTCCTATACACTAATGATGAACTAGCAGAAAGAGGAATCAAGAAAACAATTTCATTCACAGTTGCACCAAAAAGAATAAAATACCTAGGAATAAACCTAACCAAGGAAGTGAAAGACCTATACTCTGAAAACTACAAGACACTCATGAGAAATTAAAGAAGATACCAATAAATGGAAACATATTCCGTGCTCATGGATAGGAAGAATTAATATTGTCAAAATGGCCATCCTCCTAAAGAAATCTACAGATTCAATGCAACCCCTATCAAAATACCAACAGTATTCTTCAACAAACTAGAGCAAATAGTTCTAAAATTCATATGGAACCACAAAAGATCCTGAATAGCCAAAGCAATTCTGAGAAGGAAGAATAATGCAGGGGGATTACACTCTCTGACTTCAAGCTCTACTACAAAGCTACAGTAATCAAGACAATTTGGTACTGGCACAAGAACAGATCCACAGACCAATGGAACAGACTAGAGAGCCCAGATATAAACCCAACCATATATGGTCAATTAAGACACAATTAAGGCACCATGGATATACAATGGGGAAATGACAGCCTCTTCCACAAGACACAATTAAGGCACCATGGATATACAATGGGGAAATGACAGCCTCTTCCACAACTTGTATTGGCAAAACTGGACAGTTACACACAAGAGCATGAAACTGGACTATTTTCTAACCCCATACACAAAAGTAAACTCAAAATGGATCAAAGACCTGAATGTAAGTCATGAAACCATAAAACCCTTAGAAGAAAACATAGGTAAAAATATCTTGAATATAAACATGAGCAACTTTTTCCTGAATGCATCTCCTCTGGCAAGGAAAACAAAATAAAAAATGAACAGAAAACAGGACTACATCAAGCTAAAAAGCTTCTGTATGGCAAAGGACACCATCAGCAGAACAGAAAAGGCATCCTACAGTATGGGAGAATATATTTGTAAATGGCATATCTGAAAAGGGTTTAACATCTAAAAATATATAAAGAACTCACACTCCTCAAAAAGCAAATATCCATATTAAAAAATGGGCGGATATGAACAGACACTTCTCCAAAGAAGAAATTCAGATGGCCAACAGACACATGAAAAGATGCTCCACATCACTAATCGTTAGGGAATTGCAAATTAAAACCACAATGAGCTCAGTGAAATAAGTCAGGCAGAGAAAGACAAATACCAAATGATTTCTCTCATTTGTGGAGTATAACAAGGAAGCAAAACAGAAGGAACAAAATGGCAGCAGACTCACAGATTCCAAGAAGAGTCTAGTGGTTACCAAAGGGGAGGGGTGTGGGAGGGCAGGTGGGGATGGAGGGAGAAGGGGATTGTGGGATATCATGATTGGTGCACATGGTGTATGTGGCGTCACAGTGAAGACAGTGCAGCTCAGAGAAGACAAAGAGGGATTCTGTTGCATCTTACTACAGTGATGGTCAGTGACTGCAATGGGGTATGGGTGGGGACTTGATAATATGGTGAATGTTGTAATCACGATGTTGCTCATGTGAAACCTTCATAAGACTGTATATCAATGATACATTAATTTTAAAAAAAGAATAATTATTCTTCCCTTCAAGAAAAATAACCTTGAAGTTTTATCTGTTTTATTTACAAATACCAATGAGTATGATGAAGCACTGTCAATCCTTACATTTTCTTACTCTCCAGGATGACTATCGCACACCTTTCATTTGCTTAAATTTCCCTCTCTGCACTACCCTCTCAGCTCTCTGACTAATTTCACTGAGAAGCTACTAGGCAAAACTTTAGTCATTTTCCAAATACCAAATCTACAAGAGAACCAGAATCTGTACTCATCTTCTCCATTTTTACCCCATTTCAACAGAAGGATATAAGTCCTTCTATCAAAGGCTACTCCACATTTAGACTCTAAATTCCTTCCTTTTCATGTTTCAAAGACTTTACAATATCTTCCATCACAAAGTCTTCCATTCCAAAAGACTTTACATTATCTTCCATTTACAATTTCTTCTTCTTCACTGGATCAATCTTACCAGCACACAAAAACAGATTCCAATTACCTTCCATCATTTTAAAAAATTATCACTTGATTACTCCTTTCTTCTCTTCAGTTTCCATTTGTCTACTTCCTTCACAGCAGAACTACTTTTAAGTGTTGATGACACACACCCGTTTCCATTTTCTTCCTTGTCATTCAGAATTCTTTAAAAAAAGTATTTCCTTTTTTTCCCCTTTTCATTTATGATTATCATCATTATTACTCTGAACGTGCCTATGTCCCTTATTTGCAGAAATAGCCGATTTTGACATGGAAATTGGACAGTGCTGGCTTCAATTACACTTTGACCCACTCCAATGTGACTTCTATTTTACCTCTCCAAAAAAGTGTTTTGGTCAAGGTCACTAGTAAAAGAATGTTACCTTATTAAAAAAAACACACACACATACACATACACACATTTTTCTCTTTAATCTCCTCTTAGCAGTATTACATACTGTCTAATACACCCACCCTTCTTGGAACTTTCCTCTTCTCTTGGTTTTCATGATGCCAAACTTTACTGGTTTCTTCCTATTTCACTTTACCATCCTTTTCTTAGTCTTCTTTATTTCACCTCTTCTAAGTCTCTACATGGTAGCAGGGCATTATTCTAGGCCACATTCTCTTCTCTCCCCACCACATGCCCCTTGTAGCCCCCTCAGATAATTTCATTCATTCTCATGGCTTTATAAATCAGCTTCCAATTTATATCATGTGTCCTGACCTCTCCTGAGCTCCTGACTTATAAACCCAATTGCCTGTATCTAACATCCTCATCACTTAGAAATCCCTCATAAGAATCTCAAACTCAGTGAGTATGGAAAAGAATACTGCATTCACTTTGCCAAAATCTGTTTTTCTAGATCTTGGTAATAGATACCACCACCACCGATCAGGTACTCAAGCCAAAAATCTGAACACTGTTTATCTTCATTCTTCCCTTTCTTTCATAAATGTAATTCATTAGCCAAGCCAATAACTTCTACCTCTAACAGAGATCTTGAATCTATTTTCTCTCCCTTTGGCTCCTACCACCTACACCTTCACAAGCAATTATCACCTCTCTCTCACACATAGACAACTGCAAGTCTTTATTTTCTCCTGCTTCTAATCTCACCTCTGTACCTATCAATTCTCCATAGAGCATCCAAAAATTATCTTTAAAGGATAATTCAGTCTCTTACACCTTTAAATAGTTCCCCATTACTCCCCAAACTCTTTATGAGAGCTACAAGACTCTACATGATCAAGCCCCATCCAACCTTTCCAACACCTGATGCTACTCTGTAACCCTCATTCATACTTCACCAGCCTTCTTTGAGTTCCTCAAACATGCCTCACAGCCTTCATTCACAGTTGTTATTTCTGCTGTCTGGAGTATTTACTTTTCCCTTTATTCTTCACATTGTTAGGTCATTCTCATCTTCAAGTTTCAGCTTAAATATCATCTTAAATAGGCCTTCCTTCAGCCTCTTTCTTAAAGTAGACCCCTTCATCTCTATCCATCCCAGTACAGTCTAAATCCATATGCTATTTCCTAAACATTACTAGCATGATCTATAATTATTTTACGTGTTTATCACCTTTCTTCCAGACCAAAATGTAAACCTCATCAGGGAAGAAAGTCTGTCTTGTCTGTTACTGTACTCCCAAGCACTTAAATAATAAGATACTTGACAAACGCAATGAAGGAATGAATGAATGAGAAATGAACAGACAAAAAGGCCAGCAATTAAGCTGTTTGCTAAAAAATTCAATTCGCTTATTCCTGGAAAGCCTAAGATCCAAAAGAAATACATCTGGCATTAGCTCTGTGTATCAGATTAAGCAAGAAATTATAAACAGGAAAACAAATCAGAATAACTGCCACTTGGTACTTTCAAATATACAACTAAAAAGCACATATTTTAGTCACAAATAAGCTAAAGAGAAAAACTAAGCCACAGATCAACTTTTACCTTGAATCAGATATAGGTTTGGATGCCTTTCTGCCTTTAATTTTAAATTCATGGGATGTTCCTTCAGGTTCTTTCTCTGCTTTGAAAGCCACATTTGGTGGCACAGGAGGAACACGAATTCGCAACCCAAACAAATGCTTCTTCTTCTTTATTTCTTTCCCAGACATAAACCTAAATTTTTAAAAAAATTGACTAAAATTTAAAAAACTGAACACATACGCATGGCAGACCCTAACTCATAACTTTTGGATATAAAGCCTTTATAACATGAAAGTCCACCCAATAACATAAAAACCAACTCTCTCCCCTTGCTTTCCTTGATTGTTATTTGCCCCAGAGCCAATCCATAATAGGATATGATAGGGGAACTGGGAGGGGAGGGCAGAACCAGAAAGGAGAGAGCACACATCCACTTTTCTCCTTAAAACATGGCATCTAACTTTTTAAAAGAAGGAAGAAGACTATGGAGTACGTCTTTTTAGTCCCACTGTGTTTTCCATATTTTCGTGTCATCTGTTGAAAATATCTCAAACAGATTTAGGAAAAGAAGAATTCTATTTAAGCGTGGATCTGTTGGAAGAGAAACTCTGGTCAGAAAGTATTAAGTGAGAGCATTGGAAAAGAAAGTAGATCAATCTCGGAGGTTCAGAAAATAAAAGGAGTGTCTAGTGTATCAGATCTGGAATTGGAAATAACCCAGAACAAAGAAGTGTAATTTCAGCGGGATTGGATCTCTGAAAGATATATTCCTTATCCCTTTCTCCAAGTCCTTAGGGAACTTATTCCAAAACATCCCCATCTATCTTTACTCTACTAGAGAGTGCGTAGCCTCAAGAATCACTACTAAATGCTTGGATTGTTATTTCACTTTTATGCAGGTTTGAGAAAAGGGACACCTCACTTCTACTGTAACAGAAAAAGACGTATTTCTAAATACCCTAAGATGGATTACAGAATTGATTGTCCCATAAAATACTTTGACAGCACAGTAACTGCTCAGATACTTTATGGCTTTTGAGCTGTCTTAAAGATCTGGCTATTAGGAAGTTTAACATTTTAGTGAGGAAAAATGTCAAGTTCAAAATAAAGAACTTGTTACTAACAGAAATTTTATAATATAATTCAACAGTTGGGTTAGAGACAGCATATGCTTTTAAAAATTATTTCTGTTGTACTTCTAAGAAATGAAGATAATCTCATTTTTAAAAAGGAGGGAAAAATGTATACAAGAATATATCAAATAGTATGACTTAATTACCAAAAACTTAAAGCATTAATACTACTTTTCTGTAACTGATGGCAATAATTGATCTTAAAACCACAGAAGATCTCAATCATTTTAAAAGTCATATTCTCTATAACACATTCCTCTATCTCTTGCATATTCCCACCAGCTAATGAGATTTTATTTTACTTTCAGTAGATTTCATAATAAAAACAAGTCATTACTGAGTATGCTTTTTCAACTGAACAGGCCAAATTCCTCTGAGACACTGATATGCCTCCCATTCACCATTCCCAGAGGATTGCTCTTCCCTTCTCCAACCTGTGAGAACCACTGCTTTACTCTGACTGAAAGAGAATAGGACATTAAAAAGTTTAAAAAGGTATGTACTAGTTCTATACACCAAACTCACAATTTTTAAACAATGCCATTATTCCTTATACTTACTAAATGTCTCCCTCATAGGGATACATAAAATAAATCAACTTACATGGTCTTGTAATCATTTAATGCCTCCAGAACATGCTCATATCTTTCAGATTTTGGTGTGTCTGCCAGCTGTGAAGTATCAAGAAACAATTTAACGCACTATAATCTCATCAATTAGTAATATACAGGTGCTAGATAGAGGAAATGTGATCAGAAGAAAAGTGTACTAACTGGTAGTCGGAAGATCTAAGTTCTAATTCCCAGTCCTCAGTGACTAGCTTTATGATCTAAGACCATTTAACCCTCAAGGCTTGTTTTCCCACCTATAAAAAAGGAAGTCTAAATCCTATACTAATTACACTACTAATAATTGTATGGACCAAATGGTGTGTCTAAAAGAATTATAAACTGTTACAAAAATGGGATTTTATTAGTTATCATTGAATTTATTTTAGTTCTATAACCTGGGGAAGTAATATATTAGAATTACTTTAATATCAACCATAAGAGCTTCTAATAGGTATTAATAGGGAAGAGTATAAAATTTAATAAAAAACATACAATTTTATTTCCCAATACTTCTTATATTAGCACAAACTAATTATAATTTTTAAAAATGCTGCAAACTTTGGGGATTTTATTTTCATATACTTTAGCAAGCCTTAAAACCCAAAATGATACAGTAATTTTTTATCATCACCAACAATTTTAAAATCTAAATACTCAATTCTAGAAAATATTCCCTTTTGTTCCAAAAGGGGTTCCTTTGTGACATTTCTGCCTCTTCAAAGTTTAAAGATTGGGGTTCAATAGCAAAATATTCTAAATTATACAAAGCCCCATCCTTAATTAAAGCCACTGAAAAAAAAAACAATTCCAAAATATCACAACTGACTTTCAAAATTACCACCAGTATGTCCTTTAACAGTTCAAACCCCAAAACTTCAAAATGGCTTGTAGTAAAAAAAAGCAAACAAATCTGCCAAATGAAGTAAGTCATCTACTCCAAACCCTCTTTATTTTATAGCCAAGTGCCAATAATTCCGCTCATTTAACATTCACTGAGCGCTTATTCTGTACCAATGTGTTGTGTTACTTAAAAAATAAAAGAAAAAGAAATAGGATAGTTTGGTGCTTATTTCCCTATACCATACCACCTCCTCCTATTGTAATTTCTGAAATATCCAGTGACAGAGCATTTCTATTAAAGGAAAAATAACAGAGTCAGACATTACAGCTTGAAAGAGACCCTAGCTGTCCACCTAATTCAAGCTTCTGTCAATATTGCCATCCCTTTTACAATACTGTTAAGTCACTCCACTTTGACTTAAACATTATCACTGATGAAAGCTGAAGAGGCATCTCTTGAGGGAGCCCATTCCATAGGCAGAAAAAACCTTTCTTCCTGGAACTCTTCTGTTCCTCTTTTATAAGACAGTTTTTCCAGTATTTGACAGTAGCTATCATGTCTAAGTATAAGATTAGGTTAAAGTTCTTAGCAGCCACATCACATGATTATTTCATATTAAGCTTTGGCTAACTAATTCCACCCTTTTCTTCTCCCTCCATTTCCCCACCCCAACTCTAAGATCCTGTCAGATGAATTGCTATCAAGTACCCCCTCTATCATATGCTGCTGCTTCTGTACTGTTGTGTATTTAAGTATAAAAGCAAAACTTTATGACTGTTTTTAATTTGATTTTGTTTTCAGCTCAGTGTTCATGATGGTCTTTCCCTAAATTCTGCTATTCCTTCTTGAATTGCAGGTAGAGACAGACAGAACCTGTGGCTCTCCATTAGAATCTCCTTCAAGAATATTTCCAATCCACTGACTGCTTTTGTCATTATTATTAAATTAATCACAAACCCATTTAATTTTAACTTAAACCAGTTCATGTTTTAATACCTTATCTGAAACTGAGTTATACTGTGTCTACATAATACTCACAGCATTTGACATACTACTGTTGCAAACCATATCAAAAGAGAAACCAAGTTATTTAACATGATTTATTCTAATAAACTGTTTTTTCCTTATTGATTTTTCTATCTTCACAAGTCATGTATTTGAAAGATCTCTAAAATTTTTATGACAATCAACAAAACTGAGTTTTTAATTTCTCAAATCCACTCCTCTTATATTTTTTGAAAATCACAATGAACTCTCTTCTTTTGATACTTAACATCCATGGTTTCTCAGAAATTTTATCTGTAATTTCCTTCAGTACTCCAGAACTATTTTGTATAAGACTGTATATTTCAAATCCCATAATGGGGTCAACAAATCCCTTTCTATATTTTGAAAATTGAGTGTGCAAATATTATAGTGTAAATCAAATAATCTGTATTAGAAGAGCACCATATGCTAGGTCTTCCATGTAGCCTTGAGTCTATAATATGTATCTTCAACAGAATAATTTTGGTCCTCCCTCTACAGACAATAATCTCAGACTATGCTTTCACTTTAAGGGTTGTATATTTCTGTACAGACATAAATGCTATTATGTATAGTTCTAACTCTGGCCTTCAATAAAATACACATTCAGTTCCAATACTGAATTCCATGCCACCTAGGCTTAGGTATGCCAGACAACTTAAGTAATTTGTTTGCCTACCTATACAATCTATGCTAACATATAATATTCAAAGCCCCCAGTATTGCTGTTAACCAAATTTCTTATAATTTTCACTTAAAAAAGTATTATACCACTTTTTTCTCTAGCCAAAACATCATCTCTGTCATAGTATTTCATTTGAGTTTTATCTGTGCTTTTCTCTTCACATCCCTCAAAACCAAGGTAGCACTCAATACATTGTTCTGCGGTTTTTTAAAATTTAAGACCACAGTTAACAGAAAAGTAGGTTATCCTTATAGAACTAAGATTTCAAATCACATTAGGGCATCAAAGACAAATGAAAATAGGCAGATTCCAGAAAGTATTAACACCTCATTTTAATTCCCCAAAACAATCTGGTACAACACTGATACCTCATTTTAAATGAAAACCTTAAGCAATCTTTATCTGGGGTCTCAAATGTTATATACCTTTACTATCTAAAAGAAAATATTCCAAAACATAGTAGACTCTCAAATAGCTATGTGCTTGGTCTATATATCATTAAGACACCAAGACTCAAAGATGTTTTAGAAAAATCACACAAGAAAACATGATGTAAGATTATCATTATGTTCTAGGATGTTATAAAAGTTTCAACTTCTCTTCAGTGGAATCTATAAAATAACATTTGAAAGAAACCCTATGATACATAAATGTTAAATTTGCCTTTCCGTATGAAAGGATATACTATCCCCAAGAAATATAATATTTTTGAAATTTCTTTTTGTTATTAAAAGAGGTCACAGTATTTCCTTTATAACAATTTTTTTAAAAAGCCTAATAGACCAAACAGGTACCATTAAATAAGATTGCTTCAAGTTACTGGGAATCTAAGTAAGTATTTATTAGGCTTGCAAAACAATATAAAATACCATTAAATTGTAGCCAGTGCCATCATATGTAAAATTAAGTTATAACTCTGCTCAGAAATAATGGTAAATATACATGCCTCCCTGTGACTAGGTATCCATGATATATTCCTAAACAAAACGCCATGAAAATCTCAACTTCTCAAATCACAAGATTTTTTTGCCTTTACCTAGCTAGACAAAGAGAGAAAGATCTACCTTTAAGAGAGTATAGTCACAACTATTTTTCTGTTTTGTTTCATTTTTGAGGATAAACTTCTAGAGCAAGTGTTCTGTCATACAATCTATAATATGTACAGTAAGAATTAATGTTCAAAATTATTCAAGTACTCTGATACTCAATTAACCAATAATATATTAGCATACAGTATTTTCCATGTTTTAAAAGTTATTAATACTGTTGTATAGATTTTAAACGTGGATATAAGAAGAAATTTTTGTTAAACTAAATTTAGACTAGTGAAAAAATTCAATTTGCAATTCAATTTGTTAATCAAAAATTTACTATTTTAAAAATGTGGAATAATCCATTATTGTATTATCTTGGTTTCTATTTAAAGGTAAACTAAATGAAAATCACTAAATAAACATTACAGACTGGCATAAATTTTATGGTGTCTTTATTATTAATATCTCACTATAAAGGTCAATTATAATTACAGTATAAAGATGTAAAAGAATAATACAGAGAATTAAAACCTGAACTTCCATCTGTAAATAACTGGTTTGAGGATGGGATGACTAAGAAGTCTGAATATTTTCTTTTTTTTTAATGCAAAGATCAATAAAAAATTATTAGGAAGTCACTTGTTCTGACAAGAAATCTGGTGGTTCAAAATAATGAAAACACTTCAGAAAAGTAAAAGTTTCCTGTTGTAAAGTTTTATTAGATTGTAATCATGTTTTTCTTAATTTTTAAGTTATAGAAACATTTTTACATACTGGCAAAGAATAAGAAATCGAAAGAAATAATCAATCTTCCCATGTTTTCTTCCGTCTGCTACTTCTATAGCTTTTCTTCTTCCTTCATAATTACAATCCCTAAGTAGAATTTGTGCCTCATATCGAAATTACCGAGTATCATAATTCTTCCAAGTGGTAAAGATACCTCAAGACAAATGCTGGGCATAGAAGCCACAGAGCATAAATCTGCAAAAAAGTAAAAAGCTAACCTTTTCAAACAATATTGCTTCTCTCTCACTTACCAACTTTACATTTCCCTGTATGGCCCCGGAAGATGACTGGTTAGCCAGAGACGGGTAAGATTCCTCAAGGGAGGAACAACCTAAGACAGGCACAGTCGCAGG